GAATGTCCTGTGAGCTTTGTTCAAAGCTCACGAGAGAACGTGATTGGAGGGGATAACCCCGTGCAACAGGTATATGGCACTGACCCCTCTATAATTTCCAAAAATACACCATTGGTTTCAATGAGGTTTCATAGCTTCAAGGAGACCCTCCAACAAATCTCCCCCCGGATCAACCCGAAGTTTTGTATGAGCACTAGCAGCTAATGACTCCCAGCATACATACATTCCTGGAATTTTGAGATGTGATGTTACCTCCTGGAGTTCTGAGCAGTGGACGGTGGGAGGTAGCCTGACGGTTTTGAAAAACCACCGCACGGTCCCGCACGGTAGAGGACTGCCATGAGTGACCTATGTACCGCACGGTAGAGGAAGCCGAGCGTAGGGAGCTGGGTAGCAAGGGAGAGGCCCCGTGCGAGAAGACAGACACGTCCGCAAGTCACCTGATTTCAGATGTGAACCCCTGAACAGACCCATTGGCCCTGCAGAACCTGGGGTTGGGGGTGGGGGTTGGGGGGGGGGGGAAACGTCTTGGGTTTCTCCCCAGAGGCCGGTCACCTGTTCCACCGTTCTTCCCATCCAGCCACGGCCACGCACCACCACGCACCAGACGAAGACGGCCACACACCACCGTTCCAGCCGGGGTAGGTCACCTATTGCCACAAGAAGCTGGCGCTGCGTTGCTTTTGGCGTATTCGTTCCCTCGGGCTCCTCGACGTCCAAAGCCAACGAAAGGCGGCTCGAGCAGCGAGCTGAGCTGCGCGAGCTGCGGGAGCCGGTCACTGCAGTGCCCAAATTCGGAGCAGATGAGGACGACTTGGAGCCTCCCAACCAAAAGACACATGCAAGTGGACAAACCTGTGTGTGGTATTCGGATTTCGGGGTCTTTTGAGGGGTCCAACTGTTCCACGTAAGCATGGTTGGAGGAAGTGTTTGATCTCGGATCGAGGATGGTTCCTTTTTCGCTCGCAAAGACCGCTGGTGTGGGCCACCTTCGCCACAGCCGAGAGACCTCACTGCCTGGACCAGCTTCATCGGAGTGACGGGTTGGTCTACCGATTCGGTCATCGGGTGCAGCTCCGTGGTCGCCGGTCGCATGCTGGCAGCTGCACACACACCATTTTGGACACCAATGCCCGTGAAGAAAAAACGCATCGTCTTCTTTCTGCAACTGGATAGACCTGGCCGATAGACGGTGAGGACTCCAATATACCGTGAGGTACCGGACCTCTTCATTATGGGGGTTTTATGAATGAAGAGTCTAGAGTCTACCAAGAACCAAGATATAACATGATATAACCAACACAAATCGGTTGGACAGATGGATTCTCCAAGCATCCACCGTGTTTTTTTCCATCCCAGCGCATAAACAACTCGGCATGGAGGTCATTTGTTGGGGAACGTGCGGCTTTGGTCGAGTTTTCGGGCCGGAATCGATGCCTGAGGAGATGGATCCATGGTCATAACGGCAGTTCGACGTTCGCCTGAACCCGAACCCCCAAAATTGAGTGATGATTCTGGATTCCGATTCAGACTCATGAGTCTCTAGACATCTAGTCAAATCTAGTCCTTGCATATTTACTGAATCGCGCGCAATCTGTGAGTACTTGACTTGGGAACCATCTGCAGTCTTCCCAGTCACGTTGCAGTCTTCCGGTCTTGACTCACTGGCAGTCCGGTCCGAGGGAGAGCTACAGTTACTTGCCCCATGGCTGGTGGAGCCTCTCTCGTCGCGAGTTTCGATACCGTGGCCAAAAGGACGGGGTCGAATTGGGCCTGGGAACGATGGGTCAAACTCACTCACGCGGCTTTTTTGGCCGAAGCGAGACGCCAAGCCAAGCTTCCCACTGGGTTCGGGAGAAATCGTCCAAAGCCGGTTTCATGGGCCTGAATGAACCGTAAATAGCCAGATGCTTGGAACTGATCTCTGTTTGTTGGTGCAGGAGATTTCTAGTCGAACTTCCGGACATTTCTGCCTGTTTTTGTGCAGCCTCGGCATATTCCTGCTGAAATCGGGGAATAGGAAGACATAAGAACGCTTAGGAACCGCTTGCTGAATGAACATAATCTATCTAATATATATATATAATATATATATATAGAGAGAGAGACGATTCTGTGTTGAGACATCTATGAGCGTCATTCTGTTTTTTCTTGGTTAGTTCTCTTTAATGCTCTAAAACATGGCTTCTTTTTTTGTTGCGATTTTCAGCTTTCAATCTTTGTTTTGTCTGAAAAGCTACACAAAGAAGTAGCTTCCGGGACGTGAGCACGGGGAAGCCCAAAGAGTTGCCCCGGTTGAACTGGGGGGCCTTGCGTCAATGTTGATGGAGCAATTTCAGACACTTGGCATCCACAAAGCACAAACACATCCAAAAACTGGTGACTGCTAGTGAGTTTTCCCTAGAATTATAAAAAGCTTTTAATGGACAGAGCCTGTTTTCCAAATCTAAAAAATTGAAAAAAAGTCAATCCCAAAAGTCAAAGTCAAAAAAAATCAAATCAGAAAATTTCAGAAAGTCAAAAAAAGTCAATTTGCCCAGATCCGACTTTTTTTGACCCTTTTTTGACTTTTTTTTTTCCCGACTTTTTTGCTTTTTTTTGATATTATTTTTGACTTTTTCGAGCTGTGGTCTATTAGTCTATGGTTGACTCTTTTTTTGACTCCCTTGACTCCAGTAATCCGCCCGGCAAGGAGCCATTTGACATTTTTTTTTGACTCTTTTTGTTGACTTTATTTTTTTTTTCGACTTTCTTTTTTGTGTTTTTTTTGGCATTTTTTTTTTTTTTGATTTTTTTTTTTTTTGACTTTTTCGAGCTGTGGTCTATGGTTGACTTTTTTTTGACTTTTTTTTTTCGATATTTTTTTTGTTTTTTTTCCCTTTTTTTCGACTTTATTGACTGACTCTTTTTTTTTTGACTTTTTCGAGCTGTCGTCTATGGTTGACTTTTTTGTGACGTTTTTTCGACTTTTTATTTATTTTTTCTTTTTTTGACTTTTCAATTTGTTTTTTTTAACTTTGACTTTTCCAGTTGACTTTTTTTTGACATTTTTTTGTCTTTTTTAATCACAGATTCTGGCCTTACCATATGAAAGTTTTTTTTAATCCTAGAATCAGTGGTAGACGTTTCAGATTCCTTCAACCCAGATTTCTCCTCTCTTCACCACCTGTGAGCATCCCAATCTCTTCTGCCCAGGTGGACCATTTTCCCTTTCTCGATCCTTTTTTGGCAGTCTCAACGTCTCATCCTGCGCACGTCTCCCCTACCTCCCGCGCCCGACAGGACCTGCAGGGTCGGCCGGATGGCTTTGGGGAGTGGCAAGATAGCTCCTACCACGGAGAGGCCCGACGCGTGGCGCGAGGCAGCCACTCGTGGCGCCTGGCAGTCGCGTGGCGCCTGCGGGGCTCGCGGAACGGTGTTGGTGACGCTGGACGGTCCGTGCGCCCCTTGTTCCGTGGTGACGCCTCGATGGGCATCGTCCCGATGTACGCATGGTCCGTTGCGAACTGGATCGGAGCACACGGACCCCCGTTGCCAGGTCTTCAATGGAACCTGGGTTCATGGCCTGCCAGCGGTGCCCTTTGTGGCCAGGCGGGGCGTTGGTCCGGTTTTTGCGCGCGCGTGTGCACTTGCCCAGGCAGAAGTTCTCCAGTTTCGAGTTCGAGCCAAATGTGAGTCCCCAAATGTGAGACTTGGGAGAAATGACTCCTTACCAGTCCAGTCGGACCAAGTAAAACCTGGTCCGACCGACCTCATTGAGTTTGCATTTGAAATGACCTCCCTGTACGTGCGGGCAGTTTGGAGCAGACCTTTCGTTCTTTTGTTTCTGGCCTCGGCTCTAGGGCTGCCAGGATGTCGTGACGTTCAACTCGACTGTGAAATCCACCCACCTACTCTGAAGCGATCCATTCAGCAGGATGAAAAAGATAGATGACCAAGCACTCCGGTGGCCATCTGGATGACCATCCGGCCAAAGACTTCCCCCCATGGGCGCCCAAACAACAGACCATCCCGTTTCTACAGAGCTCCGTGTCCGAGTCCGGGTCCCCGTTTCGAAGCGTTTGTGAAAGACCTTGGATCGCAGCGAAGCTGTACGGATGGCCTGAAACGTGTGCACTCTCTGAAATCATCCATGTTTATGCGGATGGCCTGGCCTCTGCCTTGGACCCTGAGTTGTCCCATGGCCCAAGACCAAACAGGGTAACGGGTCCCTCGGTGCGAGCACAGTAGAGGAACGGTCGCACCGGTTGGATCGGTGCTGCTGGTTGCGAAACGGCGACTGAGACCCAACGGCTGTTTGAAGAAGTGTTTTCAACAACAGATACTCCAACAGGTCAACAATTATAGATATAATATGATATAATTCGTGTTTTCAACAGATAATGACTGGCAAATTTTTACATCTTCTACCTGGTATGTGAAGGTGGTGGGGGAGATCCAACCTAATAGCGGTGGCCTCCAACTTGAGTGGCAAGTGGCAACTTGTTAAATCTACCTGGTATGTGAGGGTGGGAAAAACCTCACCATTCTAGACACCAGGGACATTTTTTGGCCAACATCTTTGAGATCTCCAGAAGGTTTTCAGCACCAAACCCACCCAAATCCTCTTTGTCTCCAAACATGGACCGCCCGCACTGCCAGGTGCTTCGGGTCTGGCGCGATTTCCCGAGGCCGTCGTTTCGGGTAGACGGGTCGTTTCGGAGCGCGGAAACGGCAGGTCCGGTCGTTTCTGGAGGATTTGGGAGGTCTAGAAAAGGAGGGAGGTATATGATTTAACACCTCGAGCTTCAATTTTTTGGCTTAATCCGACCCTGAACCTGAGCCAACGAAATTTTGGATCACCAAGCACTCGAAATAATATGGCCCAGCGTCCTATGAAAACAGGGGTCATGACGGTCATGTCTGGATTCTAGGCAATTGACTTGTTTGCAGCAGGCATTTCATTTCAAAAGGTCATGGGTTCAGACCACTCAGACTGAGTGGTCTGAGTGGTCTGGTGGTACTGCTGGATCGACCCGTGGACTGGTGAAGGAAGACTAGAGAGAAGAAAGGACAGGAAAGGAAACGGATGGAACGGCAGCAATCCAAGGAATATCAAACACTCAAAGGGGTACAAGGGGTACTGTGCTGCTCACAACGAGCAGCCACGAGGTCATTCACCGCTCACAAAGGATACTGAAACAGCAACAAGTGCCCTACCCTTAGCACAGTTACATCAATCATAGGCATCATAGGCAACCACAATCCCCCAAACTATGGTCTCATCCTGTCTTTTCCCTCCCATTTGCTTCTCAAGTTCTCTCCTAAGCTGAGCCCGTGGAGGTTTGAAGATCGGCTACGGCACCAAACGCCTCGAAGCCCTCAGCGAGCTGCATTGGACCCGCGCCAAGGTGGGGTATGCGGGGGCGTTGCTGCACAGTCTATTTCTGGGATTTACGAGACCCGGACCGAATACTGAATGACATCTGATCCCTGAAACCACCTCAAAGGTACACTGCCAGTCCTATGGAGTGTCTGGGATCAGTTTTGAGACGTTTTGAGGGTGATTTAGTTGGGGGTCCATACCTGACCCTTTGGGTGGCCTCTTTTTCAGACCACGTCTCCCCACGTTCGGGGGGTTGAGCTACAATGGTCAGTTTCACGGTGTACGAACTTCCACCTTGAACGAGGTTGAAGAGCCCTGGTTCGACTATCCCATGGGACCCACCCAGTATGATGTGGGGCCCTGAAAATTCAGGTCACCAAAAGCCTCCCTTGGGTAGGCCGCGCGAATCCCCCCGAAGCGGCCCAGCCTCCCCAACCGCGTGGGGCGCCTTCCTTTCGTGGGCGTCCGACGAGTCGACCATCAGCGGACGCGTCCGACCGGTCCAGGCAGAGCGGTTCATCTTCGGTTCCGTGGGGATTGAATGCTCCGCCTCAGGTGGGGCAGCCGCGAGTCGTGGCGGCCGAAGCATGGGTTGAACAACCCCCCATCAAGTGTGGGGGGTCACGCACCGCCAAACGCGAGGACGGGGGAAACGCAAGGCCGCGCAAGTTTCGGGTGCTGTTTGTGGGAGGGTTCGGTGGAACATGCCGAGAGACTGTTGCGAGACTGAATCCTACAAGTCCAAGACTACTAAATAGAAAGAGCCAGTCTTAGGTGACCATATAGGTTCACCGAAAAGGACTGGCTCCAACCTACTTCGTTGGTGCCCAACCCACCACTTCGTTTGGGCTCCAAACCTGATCAGGCGCAGATGGGGAGAACTTCACCGGATTCGACCGGGTCTCGGGATGTTTCGAGCCGCTTCAGTGAGTCGACAGCGGGGTCGGTCCGACCTTCCACAGACGCCACCGACGGGTCTTCTAGGGTCGATCCAGGCAGGAAGGCGACGTGCCGGGGTAAGGGCCGTTTCGCGCTGCGCGAGGGCCCCGAAGGAGCCGCGAGGTTCATTCGTTTCAGGCACTCAGCCGGGTCCGCGAAGGAGCCGAAGGATTGGTCCGGTGTGGGGGCAAGGGACGAGTGGTGTGAAATCACCGAGAAGCTTCCTCATCAGTTCATTCGCAGGGTTGCACGGAGGAGCTCAAGTTTGAAAAGACATGGGAGCATTTTCCATTCAACTCTCCTCGCAAAGCGAAAGTGTTTCAGGCCCACTTAATTCAACACAAAAAGGCAGCTACTCCAAACCAAAACTTCTCCAGAAGAGCGGTTTGCGATTAGATGAACGGTGAAGTTCTGATGGCAAACTGCCTGTAGTGAATCAAACTTTGCTTGTGGAAAGAACATGTGCAGATTTCTCCAGCTCTGGGTAACCGGTTGGACGGGGGCGATCAGTTGGCCTAGTTGCGCAACGCCTGCGCGCCCGAAGCCACTCAAACATACAATCATGAAGAACCACAAACAGACCTTGGTCGATTGTCACGGTTGCCTCGCACCAGGGTGAACCAGGGTGACTGGAAAGGAGCTGACAGATCCCCATGCGCGAGCTGGCGGATCTTCGCAGAGCGTGTGGCTTATGTGCTTGTGCGCTCGCGCATCGCTCTTTGACGGTCAACTTCAGCGAAATAAGAGATTGCAAGGCAAGGGGCGGTCACTCTCACCCCACACGGTCAACTCCCTGGAGGCACTGGAAAGCCGAAACAGGCAGAAGCAAAAGGTTGGCCCTAGCAACGGCGGCAGCCGAGATCCTGTGCACAGCCAGTGGTTGCTCGTGGAAGCGTCCATTTGGTTCTGGTTGATTGGGCATTGGGGCTTGGACACTGGAACCTCAGAGCTTCGGGGGCTTGGACCCGGGAAGCTTCCACCTCGTCCATCTCGCACTGTCCCCACGACTAGGTGCTTTCCTCGCACACTTGCCGCAGCTGTTGGAGCAGCACCGAACCTTTCCATCAGCCAGTGGGATGGTGCCCTGACTAGACACTTCCAAAGTTTCACCTCCGGTCCGGGAAGTCTTTTTCTGCTTTAGTTCAGATGGTTGTCATTGTTGATCATTGCTTCAGTTCCTAAACGGAGACACTTATAGAGCATAGAGCTTTGGTAGAAGGTTCCCGTTTGTGACTCTATAGTTTTTTTTGTGTGACTCGAGCAGAAATGCAAAAACATGTTCTTGAAGTGTCAGGATGGGTTGGTTGAACTTCACGAAATCCGTTCAGCCTTTCAACACAGCAGCCGTCAGCCATTGTGCACTTAGAACATGATCTTCCGTCAGGTTGTTGACATGGCAGGAAATGTCAGGCATTTTGTCAGAAAAAACTAACATGGAAATTGAACAAACGAACACTGGAGATTTGATTCCCACGTACCACCGCACCTGGCAGACCATCTGCAATCTCTTAGTGGAGAATCACTCGTCACCAATCTCAGGTCGAGGACCTCCAGAAAAGCTGCGGATTGACGGCAGGCCTGGATGAAGGCATTTTTTTTGGTTATACATGATAAATGGCCCTCCCGCAAACCAACATGGAACCTGAAAATGGACCGGTGGAAAGAACCATTTTCCTCTACAACCCAGGCTGGTCGGCTAGAGGGCGCGCCATACTGCCGATGCCTGGGCGGCATAGGCGGCATAGGTGTGACATATCGCTTTTCTGCAGATTTGGGACCAAAACGTCCTGTGTCTTTTTGCCACAACTTTGAACAAGACGATGCTGGTTAGCCCAAGTGCCAGACAAATTGAGACCAATACGGCGCAAAAATTGGAACTCAGCTCTAAGACTCATGAACCAACGGCGGCCCCCTTCGGGTGGGTCGAACATGTGTCTTACACGCGCCCCTAGGATTCTCTATCCGCCATTGGCTGATTTAAAATGGCCCTTGACCGAAGAACCATCGGTTTCCTAAGGATTTTATACCAGCTCAACCCTCTTCATGTTTTTGGAAGGCGCCCGTAGGCCAGGGGCACACCTTGACACGACAGAACAGACCTCATGGGGCCTCATGTTCAGCGAAAGCGTCTTCACCGTCTTCACCATCTTTAGACCGTTTGGTCTCAACCTACATACCGTCCCACAAAAATACCCTAAGAACACCTCTCTTGGACAGGTTTAACATGGTTGAAAAGCTCATACCACGCCAGACTTAGACTTATATAGTGAGTTGCGGTGAAGCAGCGCAGCTCTCGCTTTTGACTCTTTTGGAATGAAGACATGCTAAGGAGGACCTAAATAGGACCTTCTCGAAGGTCCTTCCACACTCGGGGTCCTCATGACAGACCGACTAGCGGGAAAGTGCGATGCCTGGAACAACACGTTGTATTCTTCATGTCAAGCTTCTCAACAGGCGAGACTGTTGTGCAAAGCCGGCAGACCATTGAGCAAAGGCTGCTAGCGTGCTAGCGGCACTTCTCAAAAGAAACCCATTTCTGACTGAACGGCTGTTCGGTGAAAAATCCTTCTTTAAAGGGCTGGGCGGCTGCGGAGTTCGACCGTCAGGCGCCCCGCCCGTGGAAGAGGCGCCGGTGACCTCGGCGTTGGTCTTCGTGCACGGCTACAACTGCCCCACCGAGCCCGGGCCGATGGTGGGGACGGAGGAAGGTGCCGATGTGGTTTTGGATCACAGGCGCCATCAACAGGAAAGTGTTTTGGTTGTTCAAGAAGAAGTCTTTTACTTTTTTGGTTTCGACCATTCTTGACCAGAAAAAGACAAGGACTACTTCAAGTCAGTCTTGGAAGATAACAGGGAAAGCTGCTCCCCCCTCTGAATGCACTGTTTCTGATAGATTGAGACCGCAAGCTGATCCAGCGACTCCCAACGACTCCTTTCGGAGAGCGCCGTGGTCCACCGGTGGTCTTTCAGCTCCGTCCAGAAGAGAACGTGCTCCGTCCAAAACTGGCCTGCTGGTTTCGGTGGCAAGGCCACACCCCCAAAAAAGGAGGAGAGTAAGGTTTGTTAACCTCATTGAGCAGCAGGATAGTTTTACCTGATGATCACCTTCTCCTGTTTCTTTGCCTCATTGCTGATTCCACGATCGGAGGAAGCAAAAGACCTATGGAAAGCCCTCACGAAAACATCACATGGAAGTGGAAAACCCTCTATTCGTAAGGAAAGTAGTCTTCCTTTCGGGACCATGTCATCCACTTCCATGTGTTCGTCAGAGTGTACTTATACATGGTGTTTGTCTTTCTGAGCGGAGTCGTTCACCGACGGGAATTGCTGAACGCTTTTTGTGAGCCCTTCAGTGCAGGCGCCAGTGAGCAAGCTGTACATGTTTTGAGAGATCCCGTGCGCCACGAAAAGGGTGGTTGATAGACACCCCTGGATTTCAGGTCCTTTTCCTTGGCGATCGCCGCCCAGTTTCTGAGTGGTGCCTTTTCATAGCATGAAAACACTTGGGTTCGTTGATGGTTGATGGTTTTTGGGTGTAGGTTGGGGAGGTGGTCGCCTGGATGTTCATCGTTCGTTACCGTGTTCTGGCGACGCTCCGCATGCCGAGCAGCTCGGCTGACGTTCGGACGGATCCGAGGGGTGGCTGACTTAGGGATCCGATGGTCGGCAAAGCAGATCATTTGAGTAAGAGCCGTTGGCGACACATGCCATGAACACACCTACGACCGGCTCAGAAAAAGGAGCAAGGAACTAGTGATGCAAGGAACTCACCCTGGATCACGTAGATCACCTGGTAATTTGCTGGCTTCAATGTTTGCCTCGAACAGAGAAACCTGAGTCGCCCAGTTACGGTGTGTAGACCAGTGGGGAGACCCACAATGAACTGCGCCATGGGTAGACTGGTGGGACAGACCGGGTCCCTTGCTCCCAGGGCGGGCTTCGCCTGGTTTTGGGAGGTTCCAAACCCCAGTGGCGGCCACAAAAGGCCACAAAAGGCCATCCATCCCGTGCAAGGACTGGGCTTGCATGCGCTTGGGGCAGCTGGTGACCTTAGGCAGATCCCGCTGGACCGGGGGGTGACCTTGGGTGACTGAGAAGCAGAGGTCCCTGGCCTCCACGGGGTCGAAGGACCGGGTGTTTTGGCTTCTTGTTGCAGTCTGGGTGCAAGTCTGGGACCTGAAACACAAGAAGTGGCTGGAAGGAAGAAGAAGTGCAGCTGGTGGTTCGGGTTCACTACAGTACAGAGTGCAGTCATGACCCAGACCCACCATGCAAAGAAAGCGAACCATTTGTTCAGAGGCTGTTGGCCTTTGGCTGATGCGGCTCTGCACAAAGGAACGACCTGGAAAACCCAAACAACCAGAAAGATTCTCATAGGAAATTCAGATCCTTTACATAGCAAATGGTTGTTTGCGGCCGTCGGCTCCAGCCCTTGTTTGTGGCAGCATCCATTTTACGATGTTTGGGATTTCCAGATGCTCAGGCGCACGGCTCATCCGTCATGCCCGCCCAAACGCCCGGCGAGGCAACTTTGGTTCACAGATTCTTCCCTTTGTCTTCTCTTGGCCCACAGGTGGGGAGAAAACCCAGGCTGCCCCGTCCTACCCCGTTTGGGGGCAGTCTGGAAGGGGGCAGTCTGGGGGGCAGTCGATCGAGATCTTGGAGGTGTTTCAACAGGTGATCTTTTCAAGAACCTTTTTGGGGGACTTAGTTCTTTTTAGAACTCATTAGAAAACGAAGAGCACCAATGGCTTTACAGATAGATTTTGAGTGATGGATAAAACAAGGTGCTCGAGTAGAGAGGAGCGCAGTACAAGATGGAGAGGGAGTTCCCCCGATTTCATTTAGATGAACAAGCGCAGCTTGATACTTCCTCATCATGGCCCCACAGGAACCCCAAAGATTCGATTCGTTCATTCGATGAATGGAATTTATAGGGGAAGGTCTAATGGCTGTGTAGCGAAAAAGACATGGGAGACCAACGGCAAGGATAGGCACCGCCCCCACTGTCATTTTTTTTGGTTATTTTTCTTATATCTTAAGACATTCTCAAAGGGTCACGACGAGGCGGAGCCTGTACTTTTCCCAAAAACCTGATCAGACCTACGACTCCTGCGCCAGGCCGTGAGTGGGGTTTTGGCACCCGTGACTGGTGGAACTAACTGCCCACCCCAGGCCGCATCCCCTCCTTCTTCCACGTTCGCCGCGAGCTACCGGAGCTCTCCGCGCCGGATCTGGCCACGTTCCTCCAGAACCTGCGCCGCGCGGGGCTCAAGGCGTGGTGACGGTTTCATACGGTTTCACTCGGATGGATGGCCCGTTCCAGATCTGGTAGCGAGCATCGAATCTGCACATATTCCCTACATGAATCCATCATGAAGCTAGGAACAAGTGCATCGCTTGTTCCATAACAAGTGCCTTACTATGAATCCATCATGAACCATGGAGCCCTTTGGGACGAACCATTGCAGGTTGAAATACGAACGTGACAGAACATCGTTTAGAAGTGAAATACGACACTGTCCTGACGGTCAACGGGAAGCGGCACTGGGCACTCGGGAAACCACCGCAGGGAAGAACGCGGCCGCTTTGGGTCGAGGTGTGCCGTGACACACCTGGGTTGCCGTGTTTGAGAGACTCTACCCCACTCATTCCAGCAGTTTGGGGGCGAAGACAGACAGAAGGCGCCTTTGGAAGGCGCGCGCTCGACCTTTCGACCTTTTTGCTGCACCGCACCGGCGGGCCCTGCCGCAGGAGATACACCTCATGGCGCATTCCATGGGCTGCGACTTGGTTTTGGCTTCGCTGGACCACTTGGAGTCCTGGGCCTCCGAGGCCTCCGAGGCGTCCGCGCCTCCTCTGGCGACGGTCTCCTTCTGCCGCTCGGTGGACGGCGGAACGGAGCGCAGGTCCGACCTCGGGACCGCGCCACATGTGTTATGCTGGCGGGGGCACGTCTGACTGATGCTCAGTGAGAAATGAGGGTGGCTGAACTCCCAATTCGATTCCATTCAATCCAGCCCAGCCTTCCCTTCCAACGCCACACCACTCGACCCGGTGCCCGAAATCCACGTTCTCAGTGGATGGGACGCTTTTCCACCGGGTGAGTCGCAGAGCGCGGGCCGGCATCTCCACTCACCGCTAAGGAGGGCGAATCATTGGAAGTCAATGTTTTGGCCCAATAGATACCGCTAGGTGGCTGAGTTCTTCCTTCAGTTGAGGTTCGGGATTGTCCGAAGTGGTCAAAGGAAGGTAAGACATGGACTCTTTATAGGCTAGACATGCACAGAGTACACATCCACAATAGAGTAGACAGTAGGCATGAATGGACTTGCTCAGACATGGATGCTTGACGTCATTCGTTTTTTTTTCCTGTTTTTTCTTTCACGGAGCCTGTCTCCATTGGACCAGAACCGAGGCAACTCCTCCTGTGCTAGTGCAGACTTTGGGCCAAGAACTCTGCGTCGATTCTTGCGCGTCTGTCGGCGCTTGACCCTTTACTGCGATCGCTCCTCGGCGGATCCGGAGGATTTGGCGCCATTGGGGAGATCAGATCGAAGTGATGGCAGAAAGAAACTCTCCTTGATGGGACCAGAACATCTTTTGGACACGTTCGGTGCAAACGGGTCTCATGGAAGTATTTGCTTGGAGCCATGCATTTGCGAGTGGATGCAGGTGTAGAGGACCATGAAAGGCCGGTGAAACGCAGTTCAGATGCGCAGTTCAGCCAGTGTAAAGGGAGCCTCCGGAAAGAAAGGGGGGTCAAACTGTGGAGGGGGCTGAACAGTGTCTGATTTTTGGAGCCTCCCGAAGATTGGAACCCGAAGCACTTCAGGTCAACTCAGGTCGTTGAGCGTGCACCATGTGTCCCCAAAAGCACCATCGCTGGCTGTGGGGGGAAAGCTGTACGTGCCAGGTGCCTCAGCTGTACGTCCCAGTATTCAGTATGGGACCTACTCAAACAAACACGTTCAACATCGCGTTGTTTGGGAGTCACCGGACGGGACGGGCTGCTTGGCGCTCTTCCACACACCCCGTCGATCCGAAGCTCCTCCGGCGGTTCCCCGCAGGGGATGACTTTGCCTTGTGGTCCTTGCAGCTCCTCCAGCGGCAGGAGGTGCTCGGTCTATCCACTGAGCCATGGCCGAGTGCTTCTTGGAAAGAAACAGAGAGTCACAAGCAGCGAAGTGGAGCTGTTGGGGAGCGGATGGGAGCGGTGAGGGGTGGTGGAGTTGAACAAGTGAGCTCTGAAGTTTAGACTGTTTCAATTTTTGCCAGCTCCGTTGTCCTTGGTCGATCTCTTTGCAGAGTTGGGTCAAAACACCCTGGTTGTATGATTGAATGAATTGTAGTCTTTGATGCTCGTGTTAGTTTGCCCGGCCCTGTGTCCTTGGACAGGATTGACAGGTTCTCGCTGTGTCCAATGCGACCGAGATTACAACCAATTTAAAGATGCATTGAGAAAATCCTTGGCCAGTTCTGGATCCAAGATCCTTGCATAACCCAAAAACATGAAAACACACATACAGGATTCTTTTTTGGTTGTTCCACTAAAAGGAAAACCCATTTCAAGCGAAGGCCCCTGAGCATCACATACATCAACAACAGTTTCGCGGATTCCTTTATCAATGCCCGTCCATCTGTGGACTAGCCGCGACTAGGAAACCCCACAAGGATGATCGATCCAAAAGTATGGCGTGGTTGGCGGAGAGAACCCTCAGAAGACCGAAGAACACCTTTTCGCAGCAGTCATTCTACTGTATATTGAAGTACGGTCTTCCTTCTCCAGTTGGGCGGAGCCTCGGCTGTGCACGCGGAATTTGCTCGCCTGTGCACGCGCTTGGATTTGCTCGGTTGTGCATGCGCTGCTCGGTTGTACACGCCGCTTTGCTCGGCTGTATGAATGAATGGATGAATGAAGGAGTGAGTGAGTGAGTGAATGAATGAATGAGTGAATGAATGAGGGAGAAGGAAGGAAGGAAGGAAGGAAGGAAGGAAGGAAGGAAGGAAGGAACGTACACATGAAAGAATCAATGAATGAAATGAAGGAATCTACTGCAAGTGCTTCGCATTCACATTCACGTCCCCAACCTTTAGCTTGTCCAGAGAGCTTTGTAGTGTTCTGGCTGCTGTACCTCTACCTCTGGCTGCTGTGCAGCTTTTCGCATTGAGCACAGGATCTGCCAGTGCCTAACTGCAGTGCTTGTGCCGAGCCCGCAGGTCCGCGCCGAGCCCGCGGGTCCGCGCAGAGCCCGCGAGCCCGTGCAAAGTGTCGGGCCCGCGGGCCCGCGCAAGTTGGCCTTCACACGGGTACCACTCCCTGTTATCTTGCGCATTACTCTTCATGCAGCTTCACAGCTTAATTAATTTGCTTTTGGCTCAAGACTGTGAAGCCCGCACATAGACTGCACTGCGCCATAGAAAAGTGAGCTCGCTGTCGCTCGCTCACGACTCCGCATTCGGGCATACTTGGTGCGATCGGTCAGGTCCAGTGTTTGTCAGTTACTTCACTGCCACTTTGGGAAACTTGCCCTCAACCCCCCCACTCCACCCCCCCCTTCCCAACGCCAGCTTAAATGTAAACTTCATCAATAATAAGCATGTGTGTGGAGACCTGACCCAAGGACATATCATGTACACATCACATCAACTCAGTTTGTGTGTGCACAGGTGAGCGAAATCTGTGTGCGCAGGCACACTTTGAACAAGGTTGCAATCGATGTGTGTACAGGTGAGCGAATCCTGTGTGTGCAGGTGAGTTAGTTGTATCAAAAAAGGCTGTGTGTACAGGTGAGCGAATCTGGCATGCGCAAGTGAGGCGCCATCCATTGGTTGGGGTCGTTCAGAAGTGTGATGTGTGTCACCCTCCAACGGCCCGTGCCTAGATCTTCCAAGCGTGCAACATTTTGGTGTTTTGGCTGATTAGTTGTTCCCCTCCTTGCGGCCGCGCCGCGTGGCACCGACACGTGACGCATGGCGGTGAGGTTTATTTCAATCAACTTTGACGCATCCACGTCACACGTCGAAAGCAAGCTTCTACCAAATCGTCTTCTTATGTTCAGATCTTCCCTTAGCTGTAGCCACTGGACCGACTAAGCCAATTCTGGGATGGAGAATTTGGATCATTGTTGTGCCTTGTGTTCTTTGATGTTCTTTGCATTCGTGACAAACTCTGCGTGCCTGCGGGTGTTGAGACAAATGGATCACGTGCGATGTCAGTAATGTTGGGTCTTAAATGGTGAAACCCGTCCCCCTCCTAGCAAACAGTCAAGGGGGTATGAATAGAATCCCCGCCGCAAACACCATTAGTAGTATTCGTTGCAGTAGCAGTAGCAGTAGCAGTAGGAGTAGCATGTAGGAGTAGCATGTAGGAGTAGTAGTAGTAGTCGTCGTAGTCGTAGTCGTGGTCGTGGTCGTGGTGGTAGTGGTAGTGGTAGTGGTAGTGGTAGTGGTAGTGGTAGTAGTGGTAGTAGTAGTAGTAGTAGTAGTAGTAGTAGAGATAAGATTTCCATGAATCAAGGAAACCTCAGGAGAGTTTAGTAAAGATTGGAAAGGGCAGCAGTAGCAGAACAATAATCAAGTTAGGGTTTTCCCTTACGGCTCCAAGTTTCCCACCCTCTAAACAATTGATTCTATTCACTTGTCCTGTGCTTGTGTACTACCCCCTTGGGCCAGCCCGGTGAAGGATGTTCAGCGGACCTTTTTTGAGCTCTTTAGTGGCAATAATGTCAGATCCTAATTAGTCAAGTGGGAGGGAATAACAAAAAGTGTTCGCCAAATTATTCCAACACCCTGAATAGTTTATTGGGAGGGAATAGTAAAAAGTTTCTTCCAAGGGTGATTTTTTTGGGTTTGTCTACTTTTCTTTTGTTCTGCTATTGCGCCCGAATATAATTCTTACTTAACTCTCCTGAGGTTTGCTTGATTCATGGAATTCTGAGCTGGAAATCCGTTTTCAAAAACGCTCATGAGACTCAACGGTTTCATTGCTCCAAACAACTTTTCAAAGAGACATGATCACCCCCGCAGCTTTTGGTTCGAGCTCTTGAGCTCTTGAACCAAGGCGGCGCAAGATGGACGCCTGCCTGGGGGAGGGGGCTAGAAGCTATAGGTACAAAGACTAGGAGTTCGTTGGGATGTCGTTGGAATCCACGGAGTTGGGAATTTGTTGGGCTGGGTCAGATGGCCAGGTGGATAATCTCCAGAATTTGGCTCAGGTGTTGCTACACATGGCGTTTTGGATGTTGTAACGGTGTCCATACAATTCGCAAACTTCTATAGGAGTCTGTGCCCCGGATGACCAAATTGAGAGCAGCAAGACGTTCGAACCAACTTTGCCAAAAACAATTTAGCCCCTGTTTTGTTTCATACATTTCAACATCGTTGTGCTCAGGACTCTACAGATGCCAGTCTTTCTTTTCAGCCTGAGGGCCAGCGAAGGACAAAGAACACTGGATGATGCAGCGCGGGTCAGGTCCATGTCTGGTGTTACACTGTTGCGCTTAAGAACCTAACCAATGCAGTGCTACCAGCTGAACGTGTTGGGCACCTCAGATGGTCAAAGGTTTTTTCCATCAGCGACTGAATGTTGGACAACCTCAGATTGGTATAGGGAGCAAAAGTAAACGCCCGACCCAAAAACATGTCAGCTGGTCCTGGTCCCTTTGTGCTTTTCTGGTCCTTTGGTGCCCTGGCCCTTGGTCCACTGGTCCGTATTGTCACGTTGGCGCACGGGTCAGATGTACAAGCTGTCCGCCGCGCCAGCAACAAGCTCTAAAAGACGATGGGGCGTACGCCAGAATTTATCACATGGTGTTTGCTGGCGCTGCGCCTTTACGACCTCGCTGGAACGGGTCTTTGTCCCCTTTGTGCTCCAGAACCTGGCACTCCCGAAGAAGAATCTCATGTGCCTGCCGGAGCAGTTAGAACCTGCTTGCGGAAATTCCTTCTCGTTGGTCTCCGGCCTCGACAGGGTTCTGACATTGCTTCTTCTGAAATTCGATCTTCTAGGGGCGCTTGGCGTCCCTTGTGTGTTCACAACTTTCGGCCCCTCACTCCAATGTATTGCATAGTATTTTCAGATTCACCCCCATGCTTGAGAGCTGGATCTCTTTCTGTTTGCTGAAGGATGCGCTATGCAGGGGCCGCGTGGGCAATACTTGGGGAACTGGCTCATGCGCCGCAGCATTGTCTAGCATCGAGTTAATACAGCAGTTCGTCGTGGAGAGGCCTCGTGTGGGAAGTTCGGGGACACCACAGGCCGGGAGCAGGGTGTTGATTGTTGGCAAACTGTTGATTGCAAATTGCCTAGGCGTGTCATCTTTGTCTCGTCCAATGGTGTTGCTTCCGGCCCACGCGGGTGCTGGGGGCTTCGAGACGTCGATGGCGTCGCGGTCTGGAGAGAATCTTACTTCCACAGACACTCGGGGTGGTCAAAGCATCTATCATTTCATTTTGTTTTCGTTTTCATCGCAATTTTTCATGCCCATTGGTGGCGTACTCACCTGACCTTTGGTTTTGGCCTTTGCACTTTCCCAAGGAGCGACGCTGCCGCTCCGTGGAGCACTGATGCCACGGAAAGGGCGGAGCCGCATGCGGAGGGTGTCAGAGGCTTGACCAATGTAGGTATATACGCCCCAAGAATCCAGCCGTCTTTTTTTTCATGCGTGATTGTGCTTATCGTTTGCGTCCCCTGAAGCGAAGGCTGCCAAGCCACCTACTCCTGAACCCTCTTTTCCACCCTCAGTCGGCTAGTCATGTCCTTCTATTTTGCTTTAGCTGTTATGAAATGTGCTTGACTGTCGTTCACGCCTTGCCGAAACTAGCCGAAATTGAAGTAGAATGACAAAATTAAAATAACATTTTGCAAATTTGTGGCCGAAACTAACCAAAATGAACATGAAAAACACAAGCATACTGGAGCTCAATTGCAATTGCCTCCCCTGAGGGAAAGGCCAAGTCAGCTAGTCCTGAACCTTCTTTGCTAGGCTAGTCGGCTACTCATGTCCTTCTATTTTGCTTTAGCTTTTGTGAAATGTATCTGACTATCGTTGATTTGTGGACGTTGATGTGTGGACGAAACTTGCAACATGAAAAAAATAGAAAACCGAGGAACATTTAATTTTTTAGTTTTTCATTTAGTTTTCATTTTTCACTTTATCATTGTTTTAAATCAGTTTCGTTTTCTTTCAAGCATTTTTGGTGTTGCATTTTGGTTTTCATTTGGGTCATGATTGTTTATATTGGTTTTCATTTGGGTCAGAATGTTTCAACCGTGTTTTTGCATCGCATTTTGGCTTTCATTGGAGAATTGTGTCATCTTGGGTGTTATTTTCCTAGGCAATTGTGGGTGTCATTTGTTTGTTCATGTGTTTTGTGGCTGCCTGAACTAGCCAATTCAGGAAGGATGAACATGATGAAAAAAAACATGAGAATCCCAAAAGGAATCAAACACATGAAAATACGGTATTCGGTAAACAAAATGAAGACCTAAAAAAAAATGAAACATGTTTAAAGTGAACTTTCCATTGCCTGGCTGGCAAAAATTGACATAATCGCAGTCTTGCAGATGGGCTTCAACTGGCGCGGCACTCTCTTGTCGTAGGACCTGTCATGTCTCATAACAGTGTTGTGTTCTTTGCCGCGCGCGTGCTCTCTCTCTCCCCCTCTCTCTCTCTCTCCCCTCTCTCGCTCTGTGCTGTCGAGCGTGTGTAATGTGTGTTGTTGTGTTTGCCTCCCCCGCTTGAGAGGTGGGCGGTGTCACTCCTCCTCTCCTTAGCCTCTCTTCTTTACTGTCCTTTCTCATAGACTTGAACATGATAAGCAGTTCCTGCGCTGTCTGGGGTCCAGGGCCCGCTGGGCGTAGATTTCTAAGGCTTTGACGGCTGGCCCTGCCAGCGCTGTTGGTGCTTGTTTTGTTCTCTTTTTGCCGCGCTCCTGAGAGAAAATGTTAGGGTTTTGGAGTGGTGCTCCTGCGAGGGCGTGTTATTGAATTATTATTTGAAGGTTTTGGCGTCATGTCTTACTTTGGATTGCTTGAAAGTATAAAGCTAGTGGAAACTAAAATGCAGAGGCCTTTTGCGGACGCGTCGCTGATATTTTAGCGTTTGCGCAGCTGATAGCTGCGGCTCAAATTCCCATCCGCTTTCCACCCCCCGTTACCATAGCAATGCCTGCCCCTCCCAAAGCCAACCTCTTTGGATTGGCGAGCGCAAAGCCTGGTGAGTGAGGGTTTTTCGTTTTTTGGGAAAACCCGAGTATTTGGAAGATCTAGGTATGGGGAACCAAGAACCGCATCACATCATCCGGCCGCGGTGCGCCGGTCTCACCCTAGCTGTGCACGTCGAACGTGTTTGGCGATCTGAGGAAGACCTGACTCTTCGGCAGAGCATCGATGTGGCCCCTCGTCGGCCGTGGTGCTGCGCCCCATGTTTTGTGGATGTTCTGTGTTGAAGAAGTGTTCCTACAGCAAACAACCCGAAGGATGGAACGTCCAAAGCAAATTTGTCCAACAACATGTTGCCCCTGGAGCGGAGATCCTTCCGATGCAGGCCCAACAACATGGAACTTGAACCTAAAGTTCCAGGAGCCATGCTCTTTAAACCTTCGCAAAAACACACATTCTTGTGGTGGTTGATGTGCAGCAACAGCCTGGCCGCCATGTGTACCAGCGTGGGAGTGCACTTCACCCACTGTTTAAGAAGCTGCGCTCACCGTCTCTTACCCACATGTCATAGGCACCTGGTATTCCAAGAAAAAGGGTTTGCCAAACTCGTGCAGCTGAAAAAATGCGGAACCTTGGCTTGGTAGCTTCGAATGGTTTCTGGAGTTGGAAAAAGGAGGTTGAAAACACATACGTTGGTTCAGGTGAGGTCTAAATTCCGCAAAAACTCAGGAGATAGATGCATTGGCTTCCCATTTCTAGTCGGTGCAGGATCCCTGGTTGGGGAAATCGCTGCAGAAGTGGGGCTGCGGACTGAGGTCGACTGCACTTCCATGGATGCAAACGTGAATGGTATGCGCCATGGCTCCTTGGTGATCGAGATCTTGGGATGCTTGGGACATGGGTGACGATTTGGTGTTGCCACGTGTGCTTTTGGTTCGCGACCGAGAGTGGCCAGGCTCGAGAGTGGCGGGGTCTTGGGCTCCAGAGTGGCCATCGCTCGTGCAAAAGGCTCCGTTTCAAGTCGGTGGTTGAGCCGATCTGTTGGGCGAAGGGCCTCATACCTGGAGTCGATCTGGTAGATCTCAAGAATCCCCATGCTTTACGAAGCTGCGCAGCTCATTTTCATCCCCTTGTTTGAAGGGTCATCTCAAAGGTGGCACAAGAGAATGATGTGGAACTTCGGCCGCAAGCGCGCGGATCGGGTCGACAGGTATGTCCGTCGAGCAACGCCGAGCAACGTGTCCGTCGACTCGGTCGACTGAGCCGGTCGACTGAGCCGGTCGACCAAAATCGACTGACCCTGGGAGTCAAAGATCTTTGACGATTTTATAACATAAAGGAATGGTCTGACAAGTGACCAACCTGCAATCTTCAGGAAATTCCTGCAAGCTTCAGTCGGTCGAAATACAGTCGATCTGGACTTCTAGGGTACACCGACCAACATTGATCTCTGGAACCATATCAATTTAGGTCACTTATGCCGCCAGTACATCCCGCTGTGACCGATATTGACACGCTGTTTTTGGTATGAAGGGGTGGGTGGGAGGTTCTAAGATACTCAGTTTAAAGAAACTATCGATAGCAAATGGCACATATCAAACATATTCAAACATCATATTATGATATATTGTATATATAATTAACATATATCAAAGGTATCAAACATGATACATCATTTCACTGTTGTGGCAAGAGGCCAGTTCCGCCAGCGGGTGAAAAGCAAGTATGTGGTCCCACCTGCCATGGATTTTTGAACGTCCAAGCCATGCAAGCGCGTTTGTGAGGCTATTTCGACTTGAACACGAACCTCGTCGCGGACTTGAAGGACTCAGATGGGGTGGTACACGCACGGAAAAAATAAACGTTTTGGGCGAATAGGTTTGCAAGGGTCGGGGCGCGACCTTTTTTCGATGCGATCACTTGGACGTCCCAATCGATCACTTGGACGAGGCTGATTTCGGGACATGAGGACAGCATCAGGAGGCCACAACACAGAATTCAAAAGACCCTTTGGCAAGTGCCCATGCCAGTGACCTAGTTGTGCTGATTGGGTGACTGGTATTGTCCAGAACAGGGTAAATCATGTAAATCCTCTTTTGTGGACTATCTTGTTTTTCGGTTCCTTAAGCAAATCCAAAGTCATCTTGCCATAGAGTCACTTTTCTTGTACTGTATGTACAGAATGAGAAGGAGCACAAATCACTGGCCACAAGTTGCAACATCACAGGCCATCATTTGTGGCTCATTCGGCGCAAAACTTGGATGCTGGAACAGACGTTGGCAACCTGGAGTCCTAAGCATCTTAAATGTGCAGACAAGGCCTCTGAGCCTTTGAGCTGGAAAATAGCACAGGTGATGTATTTATCCGAAGCCATTTTTTGGATGGCTAGATGGATTTCGCCCCAGAGTGGGGAAGAAGGGACTCTCTCTAGGACAAGAACATGTCTGGCTCTCGCGGATGCCGCGCCATTCATCTGGCACCACGTCCGAGCCAGTGAGCTGGCCTCGCGAGGAGCTGATCGTGGACCAAAAAGAGGCCTCTCAGAGGAGTCGTCCCTCGACGAGAGAAAGCGCGTGAAGAAGAAAGAAAGAACAACAACCAAAGAAGAAGAAGCAGAAGAAGAAGCAGAAGAAGAAGAAGAAGAAGAAGCAGAAGAAGAAGAAGAAGAAGCGGTGGTTCTGGGTGGGAATAGGTCCAATAGGTCAAAAGTATTGGTCAAACCTATCAAGTGATACACTCGTCTCTCACATCACCTGGGCCAATGCGGAGAAGGGGATGGGGAAGAGCTGCCACCAAGCTCTGACATGGGAAAGCACCTGGCGAGGATGGCGTCTTGAAAAGGGGGCAAGGTCTATGCAACCCGAAAACCAGATCCAGCAGCACCTGTATATAGATACCCCGGCCACCGTTGACAATGTAAGGGTGGCCCTCAGCTATGGGAGGTTGACCACCAGAATAGGTATTATATCTATATTTCTTTTGTTGATAGGATTTTGTAGGAGTTGGTACCCCAAGAGGTAGGGACAGTGGCCCCCAGCCACTTGGAGCAGGGGATTCTGGTGGAAGGTGATAACTCTTCATTTTTTCGAGGTGAAGCCACGCCATGCATGGCTAATTGCAAGCAGAATGGCTCCTTGCAAGCTGCAAGCTCAAGACGACCAAAAACAAACCAAAAGATCACACTCTCCGGCCGTTGTTTGTGGAAGTCCAGATGGCGGTTTTCTGGTTTTGTGTGCGAAGCCCGAAGAAGTCATCGGTCTAGCCACGTTTTTGACTGATCTCTTTGGAGACCTTTTTCTTTGGGAGACCTTACTCTTCCTAGCTTTTTTCGCCTCCCAAGCAGACCGACGACCCGCCGGGTCGCCGAGGGCTGTTGCGGGTGGACTCGGACCCCGACTACAACGCTCGGGGTGCCCGGCGTGGGCGGTGTGCGGACGCAACGGGCACGAGAGGCGCTTCGTCAACAGCGAGACCCCGGAGCAGTAAAAGCTTGTAGCACGTGGAAGATGAGGACACCCCAATTGGTTGGCCGTTTTGATGCCCTTTCTGAAAGCAAGATGGCGTGGACACCTTGTGATCCTCATGTTGACACCTCCTCTCTACCTGAGGTTCTCTACTGGTCTCTGCACATGGTAGGGTACACTGTTGGGTCAAGCCCCAAGGGTTCCTCGAATTAACGGTCACCATGTATCAAAGATCAAGGGAGATACTTGCTTGGTGAGGTTGGGACTTTGCTTGGCTGCATTCAGCAACCAAGGCAGTTCTTTCCCCAATTCATGGGTGAAACGGCAAAACCACGTGACACCGCCTTTTTCACTCCCATTCACTCGCCTTTTTCTTTTTTGGAAAATGCATCCGCCCACACGACGGGTTCGACGGGAGAACGCCGAGGAGGATGGGGGGGATGTCACCCGGCCTGGGTGGGGCGGGTCATACGGCGCGTCCAAAGCGGTCTGATCTGAAGAAGACGGCCCTCCTGGGTGAAGAGGTTTTGACTCGCTTCTGTTTCCTCAACCTCGGGTCACCAGCAGTCAAACATAACTCCTCTCTTCGGTGAACATCGCCTCGTGGATCACCAAACCACCTTGGTGACCGCTTTCTCGGGCGACCGACTCCCGTCAGAATCCAGGGACAAGAGACAAGGCGAGCAGAGAGTCGTGCCAAAAACAGCACGTGGACGGCAGTGACTGGAAACGGTGGATGCGACGTTTGATGACGTTTGTATCACTTTTGTTTTGTGTATCTCACATGTCAATGTCGGTGGCATTTCTTTCTTCATGGACGGCAAGAACGGACAGCAGAACACCCGCCTGAGCTTCTACCAAAGACTTCGCCAGTCTCCGAGGTCTTCTCCTTCCTGGCTCCGCCAGTCTTCGTGACCTCCTAGTCGACGCCTCTGAGCGAGTCGAGCGCGCGGGGAACCCGCGGCCACGAGCTCGGCGCGGTCCGGTGCTTTCGGTGGCCAAGCTTTGCGTGCTTGGAAAGAAGCTCCAGCCTGGTTGGGCCCGGATCTTTCGGTGTAAGGAAAAGCGGAAACGCTTCTGAAGCGGAGCCCATTTCGCAGCACAAGAGCGGATTCAGAACCTCTGCCTCCAAAGATTCGGAGATTGGGCATAAATGTGCATAGAAACCATGTGCGATGTTTTCTTGTTTTCTCCAACAAAACCCATCATTTTCACGGCCACCCAGGTGTTTTATTTCGATTTTGGGACTCCTGGAGACTTCTTTTCAAGCGAAGTCTGGACTTCCACCTTCCCGACTCGAGCGCTAGTAGAACTCTCTCACTCGGGAGTGAAAACAACTCACCACGGGCGCGAGGTGACGGTCATATGGTTATGTCATATGATTGCTAAATCATACACGTCATAATTGTATACATTTGACCTAATCATATGGTCATTCACCAGAGTTCACCAAGAGTTCACCAAGAGTTCTATCACATCGACTTCCCTGATATGTCTTTCAATGAGTGATGAGTTCTATCAGGGAAGTGTATCAAAACTGTATTGGGAGTTCACTAAGATTGCCAAGACATTTGATTCCAAGACATTGATTGATTCCCAAATCATTCTTGTAGGTCATATGAGTTCATTCAGATTGCCAAGACATCTGCTGGGTGATACACTGATACACTCCGAGTGAGCATGAACCATGCTTCGGTGGAGCGAGCGCGAGCCCACCAACGCTTCGGCACACACCGGACAAAGCCGCCGGTGCCGGTCACGTGACCAATCGAGCGAAAGAACGGTGGTGAGAGGCGTTGGCGATGAGAGGTGCAGAACCCGAAGTCATGAAACAACTCCTTGTAGAAACACTTATGACCTCCACCCCGGCAGTGAAACATGGAGTCCACCACGATTGATCACATGAAAAGATGACTGGACTCTTTTGGGACTGGACTCTTTACTGTTCCACTGTTGCCGTTCCATTCTGCAGAAAGTTTCGACCACATTTTCCAGCGACGCACATGACGCACAAGAGACCTCATGTTCTCCCTCCCAAAAGAGAAGAAACACCGCAAGGGCGCCAGAGATCGGCTTTGTCGAGTAGTTTGGGGTTCGGGGGACGTTTGTTGGACCCCGCTGTGGTTTCGAATCGGCCCAGCTGTTGACGATTCGAGGCCCTCCCTCCGTGGTCCGTGGTCTGTGTGTGACCATCAAACCAATCTCGGAGGTCTCCGTCAGTGAGTCAATCGATGCCAAGAAACCACTTGGCGGGCTTGAAGGTGCTTGAAGGTGCTGCACAACAACTTGTTTGTCAACACCCTGAGCCATTGAGCCATGCCACCTGAGCCAACAAACCACCGCAATGAGTCCATTTGATGAAGCTTCCGTGGTCAAGCGGTCCGTCTCGTGTGGTTGCTGGACCTACATGGACTGGTTTGGGACTGTTGGAAGCTTCCGATGTTGGGGAATGCCTGGTTTTGCCTGTACAGGGTGATTGTTCTTTTCCTGAGGTGTAACTCTCCTTGGGGAACATTCTTGATTTGTTGGCTGGTTCCTTAGACAAGTAGCTCCACATCGTTTCGGAGGGGAGCGCTTTGGAGCCTACAGGGAGGCGATGCGGAGGGCTCCATCCCCGGGAGTTCCTCCATCGCTCGTGTCGTTTGGTTTTCAGGCGTCGAGGCCTTGGGACGGGGGGCGGAGAACTGGAAGGGACGCCGGGTAAGCGAACGGGACAGGAGCGGAAGCGGTGGCGGTTTCATTGATTTTTGCTTTAGTCTTTACTTGCAATGATTGAACCTACTGACTCCTGACTCAGATTCCTTGAGGTAGTGCTTGGTTAGCTCACATCTTTATCCAGAGGAATGACCCCGACCCCTGCTGAGGTGAATGATTTGGAAGAAGGCATCCTCTTGTTTTTCTCCACTAGACTCAGGCTTTTCGATACCACACAAGCGGACAGCGACCCATAGCGAGATAGCCAGATTCCATGTGGCCCCAGATCCGGATGGGGTTTTGTTCTACTCAGGTGGCAAAGTGATATTCCCCCCCAGCGCCACCCCTCAGATACTGTCTCCTCCATGTCATGCTTGGGGTGCAAGTCTTAAGCTCTTGAAGTCCGTTCGAGGTCGTTGCAGTAGGAAGTTTGGACTAGGAAGACATGCTGTGGATGCTCGAAAGATTTTGAAGGCCACTCTTGAACATACCCCACCACAACCCGAAGTTTGTATCGAAGCGAACTCGCTGAAAGCAATGGCTCGGAGCACGCGAGTTCGAGTCAGTGCGAGGAGGGTCTTTGGGAGGAATGGATCTGATCTTGGACCTTTCTACATCAAGAAGTTGATGAAAAAAACCATGAAAACACCCATCCTCCCAGAAGTCAATGTACTCTTGACTGTTGATGAGTCACCCCATGTAATCCTATGATGCAGATGTATGATCCTCCTGGTTTTCTGGGGGTTAAGGTTATTAGCCAGCATGTCATCTCCCTACTCGGACCTGCTTGGGCCTGCTCGGGCCTGCTCGAGAGCTTTCGACATTGTACCCAAGTCTCTGCTGTGGTCCGCTGCTCGAGCCATCAGAGACCCACTGGATGAAGCCAGGCATATTGACCACCGCGCATGACCCACACTTCATTTGTTCCATGCTTCTCAGTCACTTATGACCTAGCCCGTCAGAAGTCCAAAGACTATTCCTTTGAAGTACACAAATCATTTTCAACGTCTTGGACTCGCCGTCTCACCCAACCGTTCGGCCTGTCCGCCGTTCGGCCGCTCAAACCGGCCTCGCTGCCAGGTGCCCAGCGTAAGGCCCCGGGGGGGGGAATCGAGCAGGTCTCGATTCGCCGAGCCGGTCTCGGGTCGCCAACGGGTCGGGCGATTTCACCGCACCGGATTCAAGTAGAGACCTTTCATCAAGAATAGAATGACCATAGTGGAAACCTCTGGATTTTTTTGTATATTCTATGCAAAAGATCAGTCTTTTCATCCCAACTACCAGCCAGAAAGCAGAGGGTCTCTAATAGACTACCCTGAACTGTTGCCCTAGGTCTCTAGACACCCAGACAGGAAGCGCTAGGCAGGTATATGTCCTACTTTGAGAGGTTTTAGCTCTTGAACCGATGCTTTCCCTCTCCGATCTTGATCGCTGCTTCCAGGAAAGCGCTCGCGGCCACGTGGTCATGCAGGCGGGAGGGTGGTCCAAAGCGATGGTCTGCGGCGTCGACGGGGACTGCTTCGCTCTGAGGACGGCTGGGTCCGAAATGTTTTGGTTCCAGCATGCCGCCAGATGCCCAATCGTCGCGCTGTGGTGGCTTATCCACATGGATACTCGGTCCATCGCGCACCTGCGGTAGCGCATGTTGGGTCGAGGGCTACTTCTGCAAGGGATCTATGGCCGTGCATTCGTTGATGAATGGCATATCCGTGGGAGCTTGCTGTGACGCTTGACAAGTCGATGCTAGACTATCAAAGGGTCTGGCCTGATCGACCAACGTGTCACGTCTTTTGCGATCCTATCACAAAGATTGCACAGCACATGTCCTTTGAGTGCAACTTTTTAGCCACATCCAAGACTTGTGGATTGCTCGTCTTGAAGATGTGCTTCAAAGTGAAGAAGACGGCCTGCATAAGGCCTTGCTCCTCCTGTGCGCCATGGTGGTAAGTGCCTGGCCTTGGAGCAGCCCTGGTATGTCGTCTATTCTGTTCCTGGGCTGAACCGTCGACGTCCTGCAGAGGGCTCCAGACAAGTCTTTGCAACCGTGCCTTAAGTAGGCCATGGGCAACGCGCTATGCCGCCGAAGAGCAGCGTCCGACACCACGGCCTCATCAAGGCTTCTTCAGCTGGGCGGTATTACTCCAAGCAGAGGACTACTGTGTTGAATCTCCCACCTTTTGGTGATGGCAAGAAGAACAGTCCTATGGTGCTGTTTGACTTGAAAACTATTTTGCAAGGGTTGACGGAGCAATTCGTGGTCACAAATAATCCTGATTTGGACGAGTTTGAGCCATCCACAGTTCTGGAGTCGTCTTCTCACAAGATGTGCATTGGCTTTAGCTGGCGGGCAGAAGGCTCGGGCTGTTTATGACGGTGGGTTTTGTCCCAACGTGATTTCAGCCCGTATGTTCAAGCCATACATTCATGCAAAGCTGAATACTTCACAATTCAGCTTGATTGGAGTTGACTCGATGGTTCACTACCATGAGCTGATGGCTGCGTTTCCGGGTTGCAATGAAGTGTTGAGCTTGGATCGAAAGGGAGAAGACCGTTTGACATATTCTATTATCATTTAACGGATTGGGTGCTGGGTGATTTGGCGACATTCGACACCAACCCCCACCCCACTCGCCACCAACATCACCAATACGGACACACTTACGTCATCGCCAGACGTGAGTTCAAGAGACACGCAAAAATGAAGCAACTTGTGCAGAATCACCCCATTTCAGCACCTCTATCGCTCAGATTTTGCACTCCCAGAGCAACATACATCAGTTTTCCACCATCTATATATTTTTCCGACCACGCACCATATGATGCCGCGTGGATACGCGAACACTTGCGCATTCAGGTTTGAGGCAACCCACCCTCAGCTGGCCACACATACAACGACACTTACACTTAAACGCAGATGGCAGTTTGCCACGCACTGAACCGACCCGATTTGCCCGTCTTGCCACCCACAGAGGACTCTTCCAGCGCCTACGTCGAAGACATCATCGCGCCACCCAACGAGAACATGCCCAACAGTCCTCTGCAACCTCAGCAAAAACTCCAAGGCTTCTTTTGAAGCTGTCGATGCCATCCGCAGTGGCCGCGACGCAGAATTATAGCAATCCATGGAACGCGCATGATGGCAGCAAGTCTCGAAGAACCCGACAGATCACGAGTCCTTCACTTGATCAACGCAGCTCTTAACTTTCGTAACCTGACTACCCCCAAGACCAATCGACCACTTCCATTTTTAGCCCACCTACATTTTGGCTTTCCCATCTTACACGCGCACATTTCTCCCATGTGATTCCATTTCACCCTCCTACTTGCCACCTCTGTGACGCCTTTACAACCACAAACGAAAGCCGCGCGGCCACTGAAATGCCATGCAGTTGTGCCTTCCTCCAGACACTACCTCAGCCACCTGCCACCACACCCCTGATTGACGGACATTGTGACATTATATATTCATTTATGTTCTCACTCTCCATCTCCAGGACACCAAACTACCTTCGCACCTCAACATGTACCTCCAAGCCAGCATGCGCAGTACATACTTTCCCACAAAACACCGCTATTTCACCCCACCACACTTTCACCACACTTTCTCCCACGGCCTCCCAGTCTCCCTCCACGCCCACGCTCAGGCATTTCTACAACATCAAAAGGGCAACTGCATCTCCAGTACATTCGACTCCAACCCCAGTTTACATCCCGCACAGCTACCCAATTACGAACTTTAGCGTCTCCGACTCTTTTGCCCTCAACATCACTTTCACGGATGCCTCACCACCTGGTCCACTCCAGACCCCCTCCGCCTCCTCTCTCAATTCACGACCGCCCCTTTTCAACAACATCTCTCCACATCCTCTCGGTCCAATCTTGCTTGCTATTATTATCTCTGACACCGACATGTTGTTGACACGCCGACATGGTGTTGCACTGGCATGTTGTCAGGCTGTCGTGCTGACATATTGTCATACTGGCGCGGGTCACGCTAACATGCTAACACGGTGTTGCGTTGAGGTGTGAAAACTGGATCATGCTTGAAAGAAGTAACGTCTAACAAACACAAGCCACTTGTTAATAACCTTGCCCACTTGGAAAACTTACCAACAGATGCCAAATGTTGCCACTGCTATATAGACCAGCTCTTTTTTTGAAATCGTTTTCATCCCACTTAATATAATGCTTCTTGCAGGTTGTGAACACAAATGAACACAACAAAGCCGCAACAAGTAATGACCCGTGCTTTTCAGAACGCAGAGCATCACATGAGTGTCTCAAAGGTGTGGTGTCACAGCCACTGGTCTATGGCGATTGGGTACTTGTCCTTTCTACCCGATGCTTTCCGATATTCCCTACCTACCTTGAAACCTAGAGAGGCAGCACCGTTGCAATTTCCTAACCACCAAGGACGTGTGATCTATGAATCCTGACATTGGTGGTTTTCGCTTGCATGTGAACTTAGTATATAAGAAGGCATGAAGGCATATGGGTGTGCAACCGCGACCATGCGATTCTTCCTTTGTGCTGAGAATTGGGTTGCCGATGTTGAACACTTGGGCATAAGAAGGATAGGTAGGCGTGGGACACATTGAAGGAACGGTTTGGCGTTTGGATTTCCACCTGTTTGGTCAGTAGACATGTCTGTGACACTTTTCACGACATGCCCCTACCATTAAAATGGGACATCTCCCTGATATGGGATGGCTTCAATCCCTGAGAGGATTTGGGGCAACCACCCCTCAAACCGATGCGCCAGTCTGTGGGTTTAGTGGGTCTTGGTAGAATCAAACTGACTCGTTTTTTGAGTAGCTCAAAGAGGAAGACCTCGTGCATCGACATAGGCCTCCTCACCAGAAAGGAAGGACACAATGGACATCATTCTCTGGCCCTATTTTTTGGAACCTTTCAGGGAAGGATCCCTTTTTTGGAGTCATTCGGGGATGAGTCAAGCCTATTTGAAGATCTTTGAGGCTGAGCATTGCTGGGGAGGAACTCATGATCGAAATTGCCCGTGGAACGTTGAGTCAAGGGTTTCACGGCGGCTCTCGTGGTGTTTCACCAGGGTTTTGCGGCTCGGGTGAACTATTTGTTTCCTTCATTTATCCGATGGGTATCAGGTGGTTCAGTGAGTTCAGGGTACCTATGGATGCACAAACGACCATGGGCCCTGACTCTCATCCTCCTGAAATTCGATAAATCCCAAAGAGGTCGGGTAAGCAAAAGGTTTGAACAAAGTGCAACAATACTATTTTCTTTTCCAATTCAGGACACCATTCAGGACAGGACATCATACATCCATCCATCCCTTCTGCCCCTTCGATCACTTGACTGTCCCTTCTCCGGATTGATGTGTTTGACTCGGCTTCGACAGCAACTTCAGGCCGATGTTGAGACGTGGAGTGCAGCTCCCAGCGCTTTTGGTCACACGCGGTGGGTGGGTGGCGCTTTCAGGCGCCGTGACGCGCAGGTTTCTTTTTTGGGTCTACAAAGAGAGAGTCAAACGAGTTGCAGTGCACTTTGGCTCAGGCGGGGTTATATATATATATATATATTGCTTGATGAATTCTTGAGGTAGTTATTACACGAATTTCAATCTCGCTGATCGATGGACAGTCCTTCGATCTGTGCCTTCCACGCGCCTATGAGTCCCACACACTCCCAAGCCGCCTCATTTTGAGGCCCACAGGAATGAAGAACACATCGCATATGGATGGTAGTGACTCGTTCTAAGAATCTCCATTGTTCATCCCTGAGAAAGACCATGTTACATGACTGAAGTTCCTCCATGGTCTGTATCCCAAACTGATTCTAGAATGGATCAACACCACTTGGGTAGGGTGAAGCCTCACTGTAGATCCACCCCGCATCCCACCCTTTTTGGGACCTCATCTTCCTGTCGTGCCCAGATCGTGACAAAGGCGCCCAGAGTCGGAACCGTGGAGTGGGTTGGAACCGTGGCTGGGAGGGCTTTGTATGACCATTCTAGCAGTTGGATGTGGGCAGGTGCAGCCGTTTTCTTCCAGTGTGGGTCAGGTGGGGCCTGGAGGCAAAGACGTGTTTTTGGATCACAAAGGGAGCTGAAATTTCTATCAATGACCTCCAAAGTGTGCGGGTTCTGAGTGGTGTTTCATATCTTTTCTTCAGTCTTAAGATTTTTTGTTCCAGACCTCATGGGACATGTCCAGAAACCAACAAAAGGTTTCGATTGCCTGATCGTTTCTCTACAGTGGTCGTGTAGGGGCTTTGCAGAGCGAACAACGGAGGAGAATTAGATGGAGGAGACGTTAGCCGTTGGAGCAGGCAACGTGAGCCTGGCTTGTCGGATGCTGCACAGTTTCGATGCAGAGAGACCTCTTCTGCGCCGAGTCGGGAGCATGTCGCAGCATGATGGAACCGAGTACGGTCGAGGACTTTGATGCATAGAAAGACTGAGTCGCGGAAACCCACGAAGGCCGCACGGCGACCCCCCCCGAATTGGACGATGTGGGAAGCCTCTCGGAAGAGATCCGCCAGGATTTGGGTTAGGTGGTTGGACTTCCACTGCCGGGGTACTCTATGCCTGCAGCTTGGGAGATCTTCGTGGTTGTTCCATGGGAAGGTACGGCTGAATGGCCTGTGCTGATCCGGGTTATCACTGCCGAAGTCTCTCCTCGCTGGGGTAGTTTACTCTTTCTACCTCGCCGAGCCAATGCCTGTTCACTGTGTGTGTGGTTTCCTGCAGTTGCCGGGCAGCAGTAGTCAGTACACGTTTGACTTTCCATGTGAACCATGAGAGGATCAAGTCCTATCAGCGTCTTCCGCATCAAGGGTTTGGGCCTTGCTTGCTCCCGGATGTGGCTTGTCTGCGCACCAGTACCGTTGGTGCCACTGCTGCCCAGTACAGACGGCTTGTAGAGAAGTGTCCAGGGCTGAAGGGTCATCAGATATGCAAAGCTACAGCATGGATCAACTCAGTTCAGTTGAAACGGATGTTTGTCTTCTTATGCAGCAGCATGCCATTTTGCATCGCAGATCTGGTCGGCTTGCCCACTTCTCGTATTTGTCTTGGGCTGTTGATAGGCAAACTTTCGTGGGTATCGCCTGCAAGCGAGAGCGGAGCTCTAAGCTGAGAAGAACCTGTGCAAATGCAAGGTAAACCTATTGCCTTTGAACAGTGTGGAAGCGGACCAGGGCTGTGGAAGGATGTCAGTTTCATGGAGGGAGTGTCCATGGCCGTGGTCATAGGGGTTTCGACTGAGCATCGATGCTCAGCTGCTGTGCACTGTCTGAAGATTGCTACCGTGTACAGCGTACAGCCACAAAATGTCATGGTTGAGCATCCTGTTTTTCTCAAAAATCACATGACCCACTCGAGAAAGGTTCAGACCCGCTATCACCCCTAAAATGTGTAACATTTCTGGGTTTTTCGGATGTGGCCACCGTTTGAGTCCTCCCATACAGTAGGGGCTAGTCTCTGAACTCTCGTGGTGGCCGCATAGGCCCCACGCGAGCCGTGAGGCATTCCGTTCAACTACAACCAGTCCTTAAAGCTGACCAAACCAATGCTTGGGGCGCCCAGTGCTCCGCGCTCGGGAGGCTGGTCGTGCGCTGCTCGTGCTTCCACCGTCATCAGAGTTTCAGGGCCAATTGCTACCAAACACTTTCCTTTAGTGGGTATGATGACATTCAACTCACCGTGCAGCTTTCGTTTCTCAAGAGTAGCGAACACATGTTCTCAAGTGCAGGACTCGCTTTTGCACGAATGCGAGTCCTGCTGCGCACCATGCTTGATTCCTACCAAAAAGTGTTTGATTGTTATCACTTGGTACTCCCTAAGAATCCGGGCCCTCAAACAAATGGAGGGTCCGACCCCTGCCATGGAGAGCCCAAGGGTACTGTATTACTGTATCATTTTGCAATTTTTCTTGGTTTCTTTTTGGTGCATGATTCCCATCCAACCGGGTCATCTCGCATCTCGCAGCATTGCGCTCTTCGTCGCCTGCCTTCGCAGTCGGCATGAAGGATGGTCAATGTGTTTGCGGTGCAAATTCAGGATGGAGATGGGTCACCAAATTCATGCCATGGCTCAACAGGAGGGTGTATGCCACACCAAATGATAGAAGGAAACGCTCAGACTCAAAACCAGTGGGCTTGTCTATTTGGAATAATGCAGCTACATCCATATGTTTACTATTCAATAGAACCATCTTTCTTTTTATGAATTCGAGCCATCGACGGAAGAACATTTTTGTAGATCAAAAAAGAACAATGCTGTTGCCACCCCCGGCTCTGTGGCCTTTTGTTGTTTCTGCGAAGTTTCTTGCCCAACTCAAGCTGCAGAAAAGACGGACATTCTGGCGGAACATCCTCTCATGGTGAAGCATCAGGACCCTCAGGTGACAGCGGAACCCTCCATGGATAGCGGTGCTTGGGATTGCTCGTGTTCAACACTCGCAGGGCTTTCCTTCCCTCCTCGCAGCGGAACCCTCCTCCGCGTCAGCGGTGCCCTGGAAAACCGCTCCACCAAGACCGAAGAAAACCGCCGTGGAGAGGAGGTGAGCGGTGGGGGAATCACCCGCGGAGAGCGGGTGGTGGAAAAAGGGGACACCGGAAGAAGCTGTGGTGTCCAGGATGGGAGGGCGGGCGGCGCCCTGCTGATGACCGGGCCGTGCCTTTTTTGAGGCGCGGATGGTTATGGACTCACAAATGACATGCTCAGGCCCTATTGATCCACTGCCACCGTACCTCAGAAGGTCATTGAACCCTCCTGGCGCCTACTGGCGCCTACATCAATAGTCTCCAATCAGCTTCTCAGGTTCGGTAAGTGGATCTAGGGATGATATAAATATGTCATTACCAATCGTAGGGACGGTCCTCTTTCTCCCACACGCCACACGACTGGGTCTATTACGGGTCCGCGGGACCATCAAACGGCCATCAATCAGGCGAGCGGACCCTTTGATTGGTCGTCATATGGGAAATGAGCTCACCGGGAACAACTGAGTGGGAGGCTTTCAGATTCCCACTTCTGTGCCAAGGTTTGTAACTACCGAGCCGGATGGTGGAAAAACAGTTACAATAGTATATTATATTATATATATATAGTAGTTATCTCCCCCATTCCGTGTGTGGAGGTTTTTCCGGCTGCCAGGAAGTCCATGTGGCTGAAGTATTCCTTGAACAAGATGCATAAGCGCTCAAGGAACTGTGTGGAGCCTTAGACCGCCTTAGACCGCCTGGGTCGGTCGCCGGGTCGGTCGGGTCCGTTGTGATGCTTAACGATCAGTGAATTCCGATGAGTCTGAAACGACACCTCGAAACTCATTGGGGCTACCATCATTGACCTGAAATGACCGCCTGCGCTTTCGGAATTAGGTATAGATCCTTGATAATCTTTGTGATTGTTCCGGAACCACAAATGGCAGACATGTGATTCCCCCTTTCCAGTTCCATTGGACGTTGAGAAACAGAGGGACACACTTTGAGGGAACGCAAGAATTACAGTGCCTAAGCTTGGTGTCCAACAAAGCACGGACAATCTGCTGAGATTTTGTGTGAGACACCATTTGGTCGATCGGGAAATGGTGGGTTTGGGCGAGGATGCTTCCGATTTCTCTCACAAACAGGAGACCTCCCTAGGAAAGCCATCAGCAACTTTCTTTAGAACTGCTGCTCTTTGGCGGCAAGGGTCCTAAAGAAAAGCCTGCTTGCACACGTTTTGGAACTTTTCCTTTTACCAACAGACCTTTGGGAGGCTCAACAACGACGATCAAACCGAAGACTCTCGTGTGAACTCCCGAAAGACCTCTGGAGATGTTTGCCCAGACCGTGAGTCGATGAGTCTCTGGAACGCTCAGCGAGGGGTGCGACCTCTTTAGCCATGTTTTCAGACGACACGCGCGGAAGGGACGAAAAGAGATGACACTCTGCAAGTCCTGACGTTGTGGCAAACATCATTGATACAAACACAGATGTGGGGTCTGTTATGTTTCTGTTTAGTCGGAGTTCTGTTCACATCGCTTGCGCCCGCAGATCCTGTGAGGGGCGCACGCAGAAAGCACGCAGATCCGTTCTCCGACGCCTCCGCACGGTCAGGCTACCGCATCGCGCGGCAGGCGGTGATGCATGCCCTCAAACATAAGTGCGCCGGGTCGATCGGGGGCCGACCTCGCCTGTTCTCACCTCGGACCTCGCCTGTTCGATGATGAGGTGAAGCAGCCGACCGGAGCATCCAGTCATCCTGGAGTAGAAAGAATCAGAATGCAACATCGGGAACATGGAGCATCCATTCCATGCCAATAGGAAAGGGGTTTCGTTTTCGGACAGGTGCATCTTTTATTAAGCTCCAGGTTGTAGATTTTTCAGCTGGAGAATTGCGATGGACCTTTTGGTATGGAGCTGTGAGATCAGATTTGCAGCTTAGCATGGCTCAGCTATGACTCTCATTGAAGCCCAATGATGGGCAATGCCCGGGCTCCCTTCCCGGGCTCCCTTTCAACGCTCTCCCGCACGTTTTTGTGGAACCGCACCTTTTTGTAAGCCCTGCACCCGGTTTTTCCAACCCTCCCGGGAAAGCAATTTTTTAAAACCCTTCCCAAACCAGTTTAAACATCCTTCAACCCTGTTTCTTTGACCCTGCCAAGCCTTCCTGTGGAGCAGCACCTTGCTTTTTTGAACCACGCACCCTGTTTTTCTGACCCGGAAACCTGTTTATTTTGACACTGCGAGGCGGGTAACCTTCACAATCCTTTTTCCACCCACCATCCACATCCATCCACCCTGACGAGGGTTAAACAAAAAGGGTGGAGGGTTAACAAAAAGGGTTGGTTAAAAAACAGGATGGGAGGGTTAAGCCAAAAAGGGTTCTTGCCATTGCCTCCCACATGAAAGTGATTTTTGTAGGGAAAGATGGGACGTGACTCATTTCCACCAGCAAGGGATTCATGTTAAAGCATCGCATCCCACGAGGAAGCCAGGCCAATATCAAGTCCATGGTACTGGGCAAAAAACGCTCCTTTTCCATGCGATCCTTTTCTTCCGTTGTTCGGAACCTTCCGTGCTGACAGCTCGCCGTTGTCAGCTGGTGCTGGGCCGCCGTTTATTCGCAGTAACTCCTACCCACTGAGGCCGTTCAGGTCGTCAGTTCCCCATGCAGGTCTGTCATCAGCGGTGGCCAGCGTGCGTGGCTAGCTTTGAGAACAGGTCGGTGTTGATGTGCCAACAAGAACTGCAGCTGCTAGCTGCTTATTGCGTAGAATCATGTTTTAAGTTTAAACCATAGAATCTTCTAGGACCTTAAGCCTTGAGGCTTCGAGTACTTTCAAACGTCCAGCCTTTTCATTCCCAATGAACTGTTCGGCGTCCCTTACTTTGTGTTGCACAGCCTTTTTGCAGGTACCGCGCCCGGCGAGTCTTCAAGCGCTCGCGACGCCAGCTCTGGATCCAACGCGCAGCTGAGCGAAAGAATGTGATCCGCCAACACGAGACCAACTGGGTAGAGCTTCAGATACAGTGGTTTCAGAGGTTCGAACTTGGGTTTTTGGGCCCCCAAGTTCGGTGGTGCAAAACTTTTGGGACCCCCAAATGAAAGACACGGCCCGGGGTCATCGAACCTCTGAAACCACTGTTTAAACTCCAACCCCTACTTGGCATGATTGAGCCGACTAACTCATATTTCGTGTTTTTTTTGAAACTACCAACCCGCCAAGAATTTGGAAAACTTTTGGTGACCTTTGTGCCACACATCAGGCAATTTGGGTGACCTTTGTCTGCATTTGTGGTCCCCCAAAAGCACCTTGTTTTCGGGTCTGCCTTGCTTGGGGCCTGTTAGCTCTGTGTCAACCGTCCCCCAGAGGAGGACAAGTGGCTGTTGGAGTCGAGGTCTTTTTCTGGAGGGTCCTGCGGCCATGTCCACATCCTTCTGAGAAGGTGATTGGAGACTATTTATGTAGGCTTGGAGGGTCCAATTACCTTCATGAGAAGGTATGTGGATCAATAGGCTTAGAAGGGTCTTTATAGCTGATCCGAAAAGGCCCTTCTTTACTTCGGTGGTCCCCCAAATCGGCGAACTGGACTTCCAGCAAAAAAGAACCTCGGGATTGCGATCCAAGATTTCGGGGGAGCCATAAACCATGGTCTGTAGACCACCAGTCGGATCCGTAAGCCACTGGGTCTAGGAATCCAAGCTTCGAAGGTCGAAGAAGTGTCGCATCTGAAGCCGCTCCAAACCACAAGCGGTGCTCCTGGTGCGGCTCGCGGAGGCAAGAGCTTCAGCGAAGCTGAGAGCTGTTTTTTTGGGGGGTTGGTCTACAATCCATCTTCTCCACAGTGTGGCGCAACAACACCTCGGGGAGCTCCGTACCACGTCGCTCCAGCAGCCCCCGATGTTTCCACGACCTGCCACGACCGGTCCGTCTCAGTCCGTGAGACTGCGGCTGGTGGGCCAGCTCGGATGTACATGGAATGTCCTCGTTTTCTCGTGTTTGAACATGTACATGGAATTCTTTGTGGTGAAAAAGGACTGGTACACCAGTCACGAGATGTTACGAGTCAAGCTTCAGGACTCGGACCATGACACACCTTGTGATCTCCCTGCGATCTCCCATCTTCTTGAGGTGGGCAACAACTCCAAGCTGCATGGCATTGAGTGCGCCATGAGAATCGGACCGGAACAGCCATGCCCTTCTTGCTCCGATGGGAGACCATGCCCTTCTTCGTAGCGGTTCGTAGTGGAGTCCTTGTTACGAACGTAGAAATGCGCACGGAGCTACGTTGGGTTCGCGTCCGATCGCTCCGTTCGTAGCGATGCCCTATTGTACATGAGGTGTGTCAATTGAGGAAAAACACATCTTGCAGATTTAGATGAACACCACACCTTTTTTGCATGTTGTGAAGAGCATCTTGTGGATTCAGAGACATCCTCGACTGTTTGCCCGTTTGCCCTTTAAAGTGTCCGAACGCACCAAATCATGTTGTCTAGCCTTACAGGTAAGGCATTCTCTTGTGTAAAGCCGCATTGACAGTGACAGCGTGGATTGAGGCGATGACCCATGCACGCCCTAATACAAACATGGTCCTGGCGCATCGGCATGCGATCTGGTGTTGACGTCATCGGCATGCGGCATGTGTCACCCGAGGGTGCCACGAGGGTTCATTTTGTGTTCAAACAAGTTGAATTGGCAAAGTGTTTTTTTTTCACCATTATTTGTTTTGGTGTTTTTTCACCAGCAGAATGGCGATGTACACATGTAATATTTGTCGAGCTTGACTTTGGAAAGTTTTTCTTGTTTATCAGCATGGGTATTTGGCCTTCTTGACCGTGTTTCTGATAATTTGAAGACCTGTCCTTGAAGGTATTTGTTGAACATATTCTGCTTGAAACCATGCTAGCACATGTTAAGGCGACATCTATAAGACGTTTTTTTCGGTAAGGTCCCATGGCAGAAACGAGACCGAGGCCAAAAAAGTATGAAAATCAGACCTGTTGGGGATACTGTCTACATATAACGATCGTTCAGCATGAGGGTCTCCTGCTCTGGCATGCTGTAAAGCAGCACACTGCCGTTTGCAAGTGTGGGGTGCAGCAAAATTCCACCAGCAAAATCCGACCCGTTGGGGATCCAGTGGCAGGAGATCATCTCTGTACAGCTTCTGCACGCAGGTACAACCAGTTCATTTGCAAGCTGAAGGAGTGCGAGTTGCTCAATCCATGGGGCCAGGTTCAGAGCTGTAACTGTCCAATGGCTTCAGATCTCTCTCTCTCTCTCTCTATAGTTGTATTTGAAACATATTTATCATTACGCTTCCGCTAACACATGGACTCTTGCGAGAAAACGACACCCCGCTACCACATCTTCCCATGTCACCCCCCTGTAGCGGTCAGCTCGGAGGGGAGTGGAGTGGAGTGGGTGCACCTGAGGCACCCTGGGCCAGAACCCCGAGCCAGTTCTGAACAGACCTAGAGTTAGCTTGTGAGGTAGGGAGAGCTGTACTAGAGTGGCTCATACTGTATCAGCCACTCCACGGAACCATGGATTCCTGTTTGGTTGGGCGGGAGGTGCCTCACAGTTCCTCACAGTTCCTCACAGCCACATTCCATTGGCGGTCAGAGGCACTTTTCCCTTCCAGACAACGCCTGTGTGGAGCACCCTTTCTGACGACCTTCAAAGCGGATGGACATGAACATGAACAAACACACAATGTACACGATTTCCACGATGTACACAAGCATGAACGGTGCCACACACACACACACACACACCCCACGGCGCTTAGACAGCGCGTGAGACTTCGTACCGCGCGCATAACGCGCGCATAACGCGTTGCGTTGTGGTTTCTGGGTGCCAGGAGGCCAACATCAACATCAATCGCAAGATCCTCTCACAGCTGGGCGTCTACGATCGGGCAGTGTTTACCAACGTGCTGCAGGTGCGAGCACAGCTCGGTAAACACAAAAGCGCCAGCACACGGAGGCTTTCGATTTTGGAGGGATAACATCACCTTCAGATAGTTGACTACAGGGGAGTCGCCCTTTTGTAGAACATCCGAATGGCTTGACTGCATGTCACTTGCAATACAGTTTGTATGTCGAAAGAGTAATTACTGAAGATCTCATCCACTAAAAGACCATCCCTCTGCCATCCACCCTGCCACCTCCGCTCGCTGGGGAACGTCAAGGTTGGTGCGGGACCCACAGAGACGAAGTGACGAAGTGGATGTGTATGCCCCGTTGAGACTGCTTCTACGGTGGTACGAACAGTATTTCTTTTTCACGTCCATGTGATGTGTTCGCGGGAGAGGTCAATGTTCAACCGTACCGTTGTCTGTGATGGATTCGGACGTGAACACTCGGGCTCCACAGGCCATGGCCGGTAGATGAATTTGCGCAGTGGACGAAGCTTCGTTGCGAACGGACCCCGTAGCGGGTTCAGTAACCTCCGGTGCGGGTTACCTGTTTGATGTTTCATTATACACAACATTATGGACATGTGCAATTCATTTCTTTTTGCGCATATCCATTGATTTCCATTGTATTCATAGTTATTTTCTGCATTTTTCTACTATTTTATTCTAGTTTCTTCTTGCTCTCTGAGGGGGGTAAACACGCCTTTTCACAAGGCACATGAGTCAAGAGTTGGCTATCGCCACCGACCATGTCACTAGACCCATAAGTCCTAAGTCACTAGACCTCAGTATTGTAATACTATATATTCCGAGGGTAAAACAGAGGCATGAATTACATTCCGACTGCCAAAAAACTCCGCATCGATTCTTGCACAAAGCTTGCGCAGACAGCGGTTCCCAACTGGCGGGAACTCAAGGCGCTGATGGGGGAGGTCAACGGAATTCTTCGTTTTGGGGTTCCACAAGTAGTGTGGCAGTAGTGTGGACGTTTTATTAACAAGACCCTGGATTGTTGCACCTCTTCAACAGTTTCGGGGGGTCCACTTTTCTTTAATTTGAACAGCCAGATTTGATGAACTGCTACATCCGGTTCTGACGAAGGACGCAAGATGCTGGCCCAATTCTTGTGGGTAGGGTACTTCAGGTTTCGTGTGTGACTTGTGCCCCAAGAGGGGAATGTAGAGACACTTGTGGCTTACAAACAAAATGGTGATAAATGGTGTAAATGTTTACTCAGGACTGGAAGTTGGAAGGCACGTAATTATTCAAATAATGTATCACTTGGGTCTTGTATTCTGGAGACTCTCTTTCGGAATGGTCGCAAACGTCTCGGATTGCGCCATCCTGGTCTGGTGTCTGGGGATTTCGTTTCTGGTCTCTTCCATGCTGTGCTTGTAACACTTAACACTAACACTTAACGTCATTTTCTGTGCTTGTAACACTAGTTACAGTCCTGTATCCCATTTCACAGGGCGGAGGTCTCCGGATCTCGGATGTCTCAGATGTCTCACCGAGCGAATCCGGTCTGTCTTTCGCGACGCCGGTTGACGTGCGACTGGGCGGAAGGTCCGATTGTTTTGTGCGCAGGGACGTGAGAGAACCGACGGAGAACGGACGGTTTGGATGGAGATGTGGATGATCACCTCATTCGGGTCGGGTCGGGCTTATAAACACTTGAGGTCAACAGACATGGTGGTAGGTGAGGGTACCTGTCAGTGAATGCGTTCTTTTTCGGTCTCAGAAGCTGAAGAATTACATGTCATCATTGAATCATGGATTTTGATGACCAAACTCTTTTGATGCTTACTTTGGCGAGGCTGGGGGTGTGCTGTGAAATACCTCCCCGCACAGGCTGGGGATTGATAATGGTTTCAAGTGCCAGCTAGTTTCGACCAATCACCTTCCCCAAGATACACCTTCAAGTAATGCTCCAAACCATGAGAGTGCTTAGTGCTTTCGGAATCGCCTGAGCAACTTTCATCCCAAAGTTCCAGTGATATAGCACACAGGATTCTGCAGTGAACTTCCAACTACTGTAGATAGAGAAGCTAACTTCTCCAAAACATGCATGCGAAGTCTTTCATTCTCTAGACAGAGACCCCTTTTGATCTTCCTTAAAGCCTACTTGGGGTGCTAGCCATGCTTGCTTGGACCTTTACTTGGCCCAAAGCATGGTGCCCTGTTAGTCAGTAGACCTGGGAGCAGGAGGCCGTGGACAACAAGGGCAAGAAGTGGCTTGGCTGCGGATTTCGTGTACCAGACATGTTTTGAGACACCTCTCCTTGTACATCCTTGTACAACTCTATGGCACAGCTCAGTCACTGAGCGAGATGATGTCAGCATCCAATTTTCGTCGTGCTGGGCATGGTTTAGATTGAGTGTGGGTCAGGCTTGAACCTCCGTGCTCAGTTGCTGTACAGCAACATCCCTCGTGATGATTTGGAGCTTCAAAGCACCCAGGAGTTATTCTTTTTTCAATTTCATCGGCCGCGGTATCTCCAGTTGGAGCGAACTCCTCAGACTGATGGCCGAGCGGACCAGATATCCGTCCAAAGCAAACACCGCATGACGTCGATGAACATGGCGAGTTGAACCGCCGCATATTAAGTTATAAGATGTTATAAGCCGATGACGGCACGCAGCAAACCAAACATCTTTTGCTCGCAAAGGAGTCCAAGGAATCCCATGTGGACCAGTTCCAGTCGACCCATCTGTTCAATCCTTCGGTCCGACAACACGACTCGGCACCTCCTCCGGACGCCTCGACACGGTTTCTCCCTGCGATCGCGATCGGACCCACCCCTCAGGGAGTTGATGACCGTCCAGCAGTTGGACGACATTGCGATTCCGTGCGCCAACGGGGCGGACTCGCTTCGGCCCCGGTGGTTCGGGAGGCTTGAGCCCGGAGGGTTCGGGAGCCACGTCTGAGGAGGTCCAGTTCGGGACGATGCTGAAGACGCAGGTGTTTCGGTTCGCCCGGATTCGCCCGATCGACCGGGGAGACTCGACAGAAGCTGGACGAACGGAAGCTCGTTCTGGCGGAAGAACAGTGAGGGAACTCACCTGGGAGGAGAGCCACATGGAACCGAACCTGGCGTGGAACAGACTGGAAGACTATCTTCCACAACCCGGTTCGTTCATTTTCGGTGTGTCGATTTCCCCCCGCAAGACTTTCGACTTGGTCTTCTTGACGATTGGCCTGGTGTCGGGGGAATTGCTTGGCTGCCAAAAGCGTGGCTCCAGTGGATTGGTCATGTGGGGCCACAGGTCTTTGCCTCATTTGGAGGAATCCTAGCCCCAGTCGTCGTGCCTCACTTGGGGTGTGTTTTTAAGTTAGATCCGTGATGGCCGTCAGAGTCAGACTGGTCCACATAGCAACAACCTGGAAGAGGGAACGTCTGACCCACCCCAGACCATCCATGTATGGCATGGCTACATCATGTTGCATTCATGTTACGTCCATTTATGACCCCAATGCAAGTATTCCAGTCCGGATGGTCCACCCCACTATAAGGCGCTTCGAAAGGGGACCGCGGAGTTGCTTCCGATGTGTTCCGATCCCTGGCGCCGTCAACGGCCGTGTTCCACCGCACCGGGAGTCCCGTGGGGTTTGGCCTTTTTTTGGGGGGCGCTCTTCACCGGAACGCACACCAGGATTACCTCTGTCTTCCTCTCACATTTCTTGTTGACGATAGGTGGGTGATGGTGGTTCCTAGGTGCGTCAACGGGGTTCCCACCAGAGAAGTAGACGGGAACCAGGTTCGCAGGGGTGACAGCTAGGCACAGAGGAGAGAAGAAGATGTTGCTGGAGATCTAGAATCTAGAGTAGACGGTAGACGTTACAAAGCAGACACATCACGAACATTCTGCGATCCAGATGAGGGACAATGGCTTTTGTTTAGGGCGAAGCATGCATGTGCCATCGACTCTGAACCTGCTGCTCTTCTCCTCTAGACCATCTTTCACAGTTCTTAATTTCTTACAGAAAGATGTCATTCGACCAGTGGAGTTCTCCCAACAACATTCGACCTGGTTCGCTGGTCTTGGGAGGATTAAAACATCCTTGGGAGGATAAAATCGGTTCTTTCAACAACAAGTCCAATTGCTTCCCTGGGGACAGGACCGTGAAAATCCTTCTCTTCGGCCACCGCGGTACGACCCCCCCACCGAGTGTAGTCATCACGCACCCCTAGCAGTTTGGGGTAGTTCATGCGTCATGAGTGGTTTGTCAGGGTACTGCTGAGTTGACCAATAAGCTTCCGAAGGAGCTCAAGAGTGGAACTTTTCTCCCCGCATACTCGCCAAAGACGGGCGTCCCGGCTCCATGAACCACTTCGTCCTCGAGAAGGATCGGGCCGAGCGGTTGGGTGTCTCTTCAAAGAGGGAGAGCCCCGTTGCAGAAGGTGTCCGGAAGAAGGAACATCGATTTTTCATCCGGCCAGGGCAGGTCTGGAATACTTGCACTACCTCAATATGCAGTACACCTCTGTAACACTGTAGTACAGTACTGTGGTCTTTCACCGATCGGATCGGAGCTACGATCGCGCCGATCGCGCCGATCGCCAGCGCCGCTCATGAGCTGCTCAGAAGCCGGAACGAAGAAGCCTAAAATCCAAGCATTTGCAGCGTCACTGTTGGCTACTACTTATATAGACCCAAATAAATAGAGCAAGCAGATTAGATCCCCACTAAACAAAACATGTATTGGAAACCGAGCCACTAATTTGGGGAGCACTATACAGTGAAATCAGACAGTGGATTCCGCGGCCCAATGATTCAACTGGCTGGCCCCTGGGAAACCTTTTTGACCATGGCTTTCCACTTCCATTGCTGCGAGTCAGGTATGGGGTGTGTCAGGAATGCAGGACCAGAAAGGGCGTCAGATCAGTGTTTCTCAAGAATTCTTTGGGTTCAGTCCATCCATGGAAGCTTCTTGTCGTCAATTCAGGAGAAAGGATCCTGACAAAGGATGGCGCGAGAGAGCCAGATTTGGCGGAACCGATCTTGTTTGGAATATTGATGACGTTCGTCCTGTCAGCCCTTGAACCCAAATTGCCAAGACCTTGAATCTGGAGTTTCTGAAAATACATTGCTGGGCAGCGCCCCACGCCCCACCCCCCACCCAAATGTAGTGCCCCGCAAAGAACTGAGCTCGAAGAGAGGTGTGTCAGGGAGAACCAATGCGGGTGGCAGCCGCTTTGGCGGGTTCTTGCGGATTCTTTGTGGGGATCTGAATGACGACGATGGGCGAGGAGCACCTGCAAATTCTCCAAGCATTCAACCCCCACCGATCAAAGTCAAGCCGCGGTCCGCTGCGCTCACATGTCTTTGATTTGTGGAGTGGCTCTACCTAGCTGGTGCGGGCAGGCAGGGAGGAGTGAGCGAAGTGAGGCAGAGTGGGTCATGCATGCCACAAAAGCCACCGAAGATAAACCCCAAAAGCAGTATAGCAGCGGCCAGAATGATCTCTTAGAGATGTTGTTGCTTGTGTGGAGTTGTGAGAGATACTTGCTGGTTCATGTTTTCCTTTTTTTAAATGACACAGGGTGAGTAAAATAGACAAAGACACCCGATTCCCTCCTGCTTTTGCATGCGTTTGACATATGTTCATGCATGTATGTACAGTATAAATGTATGGTCTCATCAATCTGAATAATTTGGCAGTGAGCTTTTACCCCCATGTGGTAGGTTCACACGTGCGGTTGCTCACACGCCCCAATAGTGGCGCTCACTCCACTGTGGCGCTGCGTCGCATCCAGTTCGTGACCGAACTGTGGCGTCCAGTGACCAAACTTATAGGCCATTTCTGACCTCAAACCCGGGGATCGTTCGAAGTGACCGAACTTTGGCTGAAGTTGAGAAGACTGGCGATGTCTCGCTGGGTGTGCTGAAGAACTTGGAGCTGAGCTGGGGTGCACACGGCCGCCTGCTTTGGATCTGGCGGCCACAAGTGGGATGCTGCCGGGTCAGTGCCTCCACCACTGCCGGCGCTTCTGCCGCAGGGCTCCTTTGTTGACTCCCTGACTCTCTGGCTGATGCGTGAGAAAACACCACATGACTGCCACCTTCAGAGCCAGCTCGGGCCATAGGGGTTTTCTTACTTCTCAATGATTGGGTGCATCGGCGTAAGGCCCGAAACCCGGGTTTCGGCCTTCTCTCCCCACTGGTCTCCTTACATGTCTCTCCACTGATCTGCCGTCCGTGTGATTGGCGTTTTGTTTGCCGCGGCCGAGACCTCCTAACTTGTCCCTCCAGTTTCTCCACTTCGAAGATGACCAGGTTTGTGGACCGCAGAAAGGTGTCTTGTTGGACCCTCATTGAAAGCTCTCATGGGATCTATTTTTCGTGCGCTACTTGTATTTTTGTTTCCTCGGCTGGTGCTTTGTGTTTGGAGTTAGTAACCATTTTGGCTCAAGGGTTTCCCTGCTCCACTCTGGGCAGAGTGGGGCCTTTTTTCACAGCAATTCGGCGCTTAAATGCGAGCCCTGGCCGAAGACCATTCGCTGTTTCTCGGCTCTGGTGCCGTAGGCATCGATGAGCGCGCGCCTAACATTGTTTTGGGCCTGCGTCGCGTGTCCTTTTTGCTTGGGCTGCCTTTTTTTCCCCTGCCTTGCCTTGTTGTCTGAACAGATGGGCATGTGTTTTTGTTCTCCTTGGCCTTGCCCTTTCTCACTTGGGCCCCTTCTCATCAGTCAGAGGGACCACAGTCCCTGGATCTTTTTCTCAAAGACTTGGCTTCAACAAGGGATGCTGACCCGTTCCTTTGTCAGCCTTGCCACAGAAAAGGAAAAAAGGAGATACATGGCGGATCGGGCGAGTTTCCTTTTCTACGGGCAAATCCATGGGTACTCCCGTTCATTGTGGAAACTACTATATTTTCTCCCGGCTCGACAGCAAGTCCAAGCGGTCCAAGCTGTTCATCCAGGGAGTGCCGTTCACCCGTCGCAGGCCGCGCCGGTGAGCCGGCTGCGAGGTGGGGCTTGCATTAACTGACGAACGTCAGAAGTGGGTGTGGGGGTTCAACTCCAGTGTGAAGAATGTATTTGGGCAGAAGTTGGAAGCATCAGAGATTCTCGGGTGATATTTGAAACAAAGTTTGTATACTGTGCAGTTGAAATTGACTTGAATCAAGACTCATTCTTTGGAGTTTTGAAACCATAGCGGGATGATTGAAAGCCGCTAGCACCCGCGTTGCCTGCAACTTTTCCACCTCTGTGTAGTCTGAGACGAATAGCTTGCCCTCCCGCGCTGTTCTTCCGGGTGGGCCCTTGCGGTCAATGTCGCACGATCATCATATGCATCATGGCGGTGGCAGTGAGGAGAGGAATGGCAGGGACTGGTGATGATGACGGCCAAGCACTGAACAAATGCTTGGTTTTGTTGAATTTCTCGGGATTCTGTCTAGATAGCGACGTCTCCCAAATGCTTCTCCTTGGCAGTGGTTTCATCTGAAACGAGAAGGAATCTAAATCATTTGAAGTCCAGAAAGAGAGACCCAGACACCTTTGGCAGGTTTTTCCCTCACGAAGTAAAGGGCGCAGAGCCAGGGCCCAGACCAGATCAGAACCGTTCCACAGACCGTTGCAACGACGGACGTTGGTGGGGAAAACGGTGGTTACGCCGGCTCGTTCGTGGGGGGAACAAATGGGCGAACCACGTCTCGTTGGTGAACGAACTGTTCAACGGGGGCGTTTTCTGTTTTTTTAAAAACACGTCGCCGGAATCCCAGCTGAAAGAAGACGTCGATATAGCGAGGAGGCCTTTTTTGACGGTCCTTGCGTCGCCATAAATAAGCATAGCAAGCAGCCGCCGAAGCCGCTTGCTGTGACTTCCCAAGAATCGAAGTCGCTGTAGCTTCCGTGTGTTTCCACTCGATTTGCATGGGAAAACCCAGTCAAATCTGGTCCTGAAAACCTGGGTAAGATCTTGTATGATCAACTCCAGAATGAGGTCAGTTCCCGACCTGTAGGATCAGCGGTCAGCAGACCGCAACCCAAATACGTCGACAATGTCTAACTCTCCCTGCCGGTGTCGCAGTGCGTCCGGTGGCAACAGTGGCCGCTTCCTTGCCCGGCCCAAGGGGGGTCATCCAAATCGCCCGGAGGGCCCCTGGAGTGTCAGGAGATGGATCCAGATGCCTTTTGCGCTGGAACCGGCACGGTGATGATGCAAGGTTTTCAGTTCGCGATTGGCTCCAGCCAGCCTTGCGCCATGCGACTTGGTGAAGGGGGAAGATGAGGAGCTCATTGGGGCAGATGATGGCAGATTGGCAGATCATTTAGAGTTCCAAAGACAGATCGCTGGGTTTTGGTAGACCTGTCCTGAATGAAGACCCTCTTTTTGAACACGTGACATGGAAGTGGAAGACCAACCTTGTCTATGGCCACCATGTGGCTATGGGTCAAAACTGGGGACCGACTGGTTGACCACCGAAAATGACCAGAACAGACTACTTCAACCTACCAGGGTGGAACCTGGCTTTGACCCCATGTGTTTGTGTCAAGTGCAGCGTTCACCCGGGTGCAGTCAGACGTGTCGCGCGTGGCGCAAAACCGACGTGGCGCGCCTGGATGGCGCGGCATAGCCTTGGCCGAGTTGGAAGGGTGGTCCATCGAGATGAGCATCGTGGGAACGCAGAGACGTCCTGGGAACGGTGCGGTCAACGTCTGCCTATAGGCGGCCCCACAAGTCCGCACACTGGACGATGCAGGAAAGCAAGTCATCAATGGCTGCAAAGAATTCGATACCCACCTGGGGTGGCAGTGAAATTGAAAGCTGATTTCCACTCCAACTCAAAGGACAAGTGGTATTCATATAGTTAATGATAATATAGGCCGGCCCATTTGCTTCAGCTTTCCGTGCAAGCCTCCTGGCACAGCAGCGTCCGAGCTCGGCACCAAGTCGGCGCTCAAGAAGACGAAGCGCTTCACCAGTGAAGGATCACTTTGTCGCGAAGGCCACCCACACCCTCCCAAGTGAAGACCGCAGACGATTCGTCTTCCATTCTGAGAGGAGAGTCATTCATAATCTACAAGGTTGGTGAAAACGACTGCAGAAATGGTGATCGAGGCAGCTTCGCTGGTTTTTTCGGCACGAGGATTTTTGGGCAGGTGCTCTGGACTTCCGTGTCCATCCGTTGATGCCGCCGAGAATTGGTGGGAGAGGCCCTATGACTTGTCTGGATCAATACCAAAGAACCTCAACATCCAATCCAGATGAAGATTCTTACGGTCCAATTCCGTTGAAACCTACCAGGGTCCCAGGTAAAATGAGCCACATTCCCAGATCTAAAGAAACACACGGCATTTTTCAGAGCCCCGTTTTTTTTTTTTTTTTTTCCGACCATTGATCCAAAAGCTTGGTCTATCTGATCCCCACCAACTAGATCGAGTGATCCCAAATTCCCTTCCCTTCATCTCAACTCAGGTTCCTCTTTCCAGGCTGGGTTCTGGATTCTGCTGGAACTTATGTGGGCGGCTGCTTTGCTGCCATGCTCTTTCCCATCTGCATCGTCGCCCGGAGTGGTTTACGCCATCGGAGGCCACGGGTAGAGGCACCGTCAGGGCTTGTTTTTTCGTGTCAGTGACTGTCCGTGACCATCATGGTCATGTCAATGTTAGCATCAAAGGGCAATGGCAGGACTGGAACCGGTTGCCCGGACAGCCTACATGGCCGGCACAGCATCTGCCATGATACGTTGCACAGCATCGGACCAGGTAGATCATTGTCTGGATCTCCTGGTAGGTTTTTCCTTAGGGTCCGCAACTCTAGGATGCCACAGAAAGATGTCAAGGATTCTGTGATCAGATCATCCATCCGGAACTCTGGTAACCAGAAAGATGCCACAGAATCCGGAACTCTTCACCTCTGCTAGCCTTGCTCGCAGCTGAAGGCCAATGACTCTTGCTGCAGGTTCTTCCCTTTCAACCAGCGACCTACTGCGGCACCACTCCACAAGGATGCCATTTTTGCTGCCAAGCACTGTGGCCTGACGCTGAAAAACCAAAACCCCTCTGTCATCCCGCATTTGGGGGGCCAAGCAGGGGATCCCAGGCGAAACCACCGATTTGGGGCGTGATTTTGGGTCTTTGGAACGCAATCCTCCGTGATCCCCTCGTTTCGTCGTCGTTGCTTCTTTCCTTTTCACACCTTAAGGCACCGTCCCATCGTCCGCGGATCCCAGGTCGGGATCCAAATGGTCCGTGAGCTTGCAGCCTCCACGGAGATTGCACCATCGGCCACCCTGTGCTTTGAACCTTGGAAGAAGCGACCGGGAAGGAGGAAGCGACGTAGAAGAGACACATGCTTAATGTAGAATCTTAGCTCATCACCCCCCAGACATGGATCGTGAAACCATGTAAAACCTCTGGTTTATGAATCAAGATTCAACATTGAAAAAGAACGTGTCACCAGGTGTTAACCAAGGAAGGGCAAGCTACCATCGCCTCGTCGCGTGGTTGACCCGAGTTGGCAGATCCTTTGATGAACAGTTTATCATGTTTGATTGCAGTAGTCCCATCAAACCACAAGACCGCTGGGCCAACCCACCTTCCAATGTTCTCTTTTCTTGAAGGTTTTTTAGTGCTGCCCAACTATGCAAGGTAGATGATTATATATTTACATGTTGAACCCAAGCAAAAGTGAGAGGCCCGTCGGCTGGAACGGATCCAACAGGTCGGACGGAACGGTTGGAGCAATGGCGGACGACAGAAAACCATTGGGGGAGGTGCTATGGTGTTTGGTCCACGAATGGCGGTTAGAAAGGAGCTTAAGCAAAAAGGAAGAAAAGGGTTCCGGTTGCTGAATATCTTTGGAACAGGAAACAGCAGGACATAGTAAAAGGCATTCCGTTTGCTGAAACAAGAAAGGTTGAACGACAATGTAAATTAAGGGTACTCAAGGAACCCAAATCAACAAAAACAAAAGGACGTAAAGTGGTTTAGTTCAATTTTGATCTTTACAACATGAGTGCATTTAGCGTGATATTTTTGAATGAGAGTAACCAAGTACAATTATCAAGTACAGATATCACTGCAAACTGATATGTTCACTCAATTATACACATATATAGATTATACACAATTATATATACACAATTATACACATATTTTCACACACATATAGATTTTAGGGTGCCTGTGGACTAATTTTGATACAGTATTTTGAAACAAGGAGGCACTGCTCAGGGTCTCATGACCAAAGATGGACCAAACAATAGGAAAGAGCAATGAGAAGTAAAAGGAGACCCAAAGCTTACAAAAAGCACATCAACCTGAACCTCAGTGGAATCATTTCAAGGGGAAAATGGAATTTTTGTCCAAACCACCGAGCTTTTGTGGTGGTTCAGGACTCTCCTCTTGAACTATATTTTGATCAAAGGCACCAGCATTCGAGTCGGAGAATCGAATAGAAAGGAGCTTAGTGAAAAGGGTGGTGGTGGTGATGGTGGTCGTGGTGGTGGGGAGCCAAGAAACCCAACCATTTGGGTATAGATAAGATCGTTATTTTTTCTGATCTAACCCCTGAAGCAATTTGGGGTTTGTTAGGATGATTTCGCGGAAACGCTTTGGTTCATTCACAAAACTCGAACGGAGGAGGCTGGTGAAACGCGTAAACATCATTGCTCGTGTCATCGGTGGAACAAGGTCCACCGACCCAAACTTCTCGCGCTGTGACCCCTTTATCTTCCTACCCAGTCAGTGGATAATCTTTTAACCTTTTTTGGGGATTGGCTCCCCACTAAATACAAACAGATGGAAAAAGGTCAACCATGTTCAACCAATTTTTCAAGGTAAACGGAGGGAGTCAGTACTGTATCTCTTTTCTTTTGTGTTCTGACTCCTTGCAAATCAACTGAAGATGCTTTGCACTTCCCAAACCATCTGGAACAAAGAGCTCCCAAGATCCGGTGTTCTTTGGTTCCAGCAAACTCATTTTTCACATGCAAACATGGACGAACATCGCGAGCATAGA